TCCTAGTAGGGAATTTAGGGAAGAGGGGCAACATCCAGCACCTGAACTAGGAGGAAGGAAACAAAAGGAGATGGGGAATGAGAATAGGGATAGTCGCCCTTTGCCAGTGGAAGAACACAGATCCGAACATTCGAAGAATTCAAAACCGCCACGGAGTCCGTTGTCGTGGCGGCGGCGGCGCTGCCCCTATCGACCGAACCGGCGGCTTTCGAATTAAAACCTCCGCAACGGCCATCCTTGATTTTCCGTAGATCTCGTTCATGATCCATACACGCGTTTGTCCCAGGAAGGAGATCCAATCGGAGAAGCGAAGATTCTCCTTTCTTGCAAAAAAGTTGTCCGATTCGCACGTGATGTCTCTGATTTTGTGATTTTTGAAGCGTCCGGTTTTCTACAATGCTCTTGGCAGGGCCCTCTGAGCAGGGGCCTTAGCTGGGCAGGGTTCTTACCTAGCAACAGCTATTCTAGAGTACAGAAACGGTGAGGTTAGACCTTCCCCCTGGCCGTGCAGTGCATAGCATATTGAACATCAAGCCTTGAACGTTCGACCGGTGTGAAAATTTTCAAGAATGCCCAATCATGAAATTTTTTCGCTTGCAGCTTTCAAAAGCTATGGTGATCGTGGGGTAATGCAATTAATGCAAGGACTGGCGGGAACTGGCGGGAGTTTGAAAGCTGTTGACTTTATAATTTAGGCAGCTTGGTTGTCAAACATTCCATTGGCGGTTTATCGCCGGTCTTTTTGTTTGGGTTCAATATACATACTTCCTCTCGAAGGCATTGTACATGATGACACGCAGAAAACAAAAAGACTCTTTTTCGTGTTTCTGTGACAACGATATGGAGAGTCTAAATCTAACTGCCGGATAGATGCACCGGAAAGTACTGGCTAGCACTACTCAACGACTTGAGTGCTGGCTCACCTAGCTAGGTACCGCCTTGTTACAGAAGATCTAGCTTCAGAAATTAAACTCTTGGTCACAACCGTGCGAAACATCTTTGTATACCAATAATCCCAGGACGCTGGGTCCGGGTAGCCCGCCGAGAGAGAAAAAAGAGTGGTTGGCATATGTGGGCGCCTGCAAATGTCCACGAGGGTATTAGTACTCAAGAGTACCTACCTGCTCTACGTTCGGTCCCCAACAATTATCCGTCTCAATTCGATTGCTAACCGTCTGTGCCTTGTCATCAGAGAATTCTTCCTACCAACCAGTCAGGAAGTGGGTCTGTTCCAAAGAATACATTGCCATTTCCGGGGAAGGCGATGGAGGAGGGGGGGGGGGGTCTCTCGTGACATCGTGAAATTTGCAACCTACCCGGAAACTGTTGGTGTTTGACTCTTATAGAAATCTAGTTCTACGACCAGATTTGAAAGCAAAAAAAAATCAAGGCACGCAATGGATGACAGTATATAAAGCTGAGAAAACAACGTCACGAGGCTGTAGACGGTAGTAACTGCTCCATTAGAAAGGTCCGAGTGAGGACGTACAGGGCGGGCCGACCCGAGTAATTGGACCCGGATCGATATTCAGAGTCGTGTCTCTCGTCGACCTTTTGTCATCTTCATTCCAGAACAAACCCCAGGATTTGGGATAATAAAAATAAATAATTAACAGACAATATTGTAAATACGGGGATATATCACGTGGTTCAGGGATTGAGCTGTCTAGCATACTGTAGCTGCTAACTAGGGTTCAATTGTTGTTGCGCTCGAGCTTTTGAGTACGGAAAAGTCCCGAATGGGCTGGGCGCGTGAATGCACTTGCCCCCGTGACAGTAAATTTTACTGCTCTCGAGTGGATGAGGCTCAATTGAATTGATGGGGAGTGCCAACATGTTATGTATAATGTATCCACATAAGAGTGATATTCTGCCTGCACATATTGAATTCAGCCGCAGGTGGAGGAGGCTAATAAGACGCAGGGTAGGAGAAGGAGAGAGAGAAAAAAAAAACACCACAACCGTGCTGGGAAAGTTATGTATGTAGGCATGCCTGCCTGCCTCCCCCGCATTTCATTTTCTTAGTCTAGCCTTAGTCGCCTTCCACCACACCACCCACCACCTTGTCACACTTCCCTTGCTCCTCCCGGCTGTCTTTTGGTACATAAGTGTCTCTTCGTCCCCTCCCCTCCCCCCCATCATTCATCGTGGACGGTTAAACTTTTTTTTTGCTACCTTGCTACTTTGCTTGCTACTTTGCTTGCTACCTTGCTACCTTGCTTGAACATACAACACACCTCATTGCAATATTTATCGCTGGAATTTTAGTGTACGAGTGAGATATATAGATGGACATTATGTCGAACATCCAGGCCCTCGGTGCAGGCTCTACAACATCCTTCCGTGAGCTTCTCCGGAAATTCAGACAAGAGCAGAAAAGCGGCTCTTTCATTGCTTGGAGCTGGTTCAGTCGTAAGTAACAAAAAAAAAAAAGTCGGAAAAAAAAAAGACAAAAGCTGACTTTAGAAAAAAAAAAAAGATTCTACAGAAGACCTATCCTCCACATCCACAGCAAACTGGTGGGAAAGTACCACCGACCTCGAAAGTGAAAAAGCCGCCCAGCCCACAACCGCAACCGCTTGGGAATGTGGAGAAGCGGAATGTGACACCTGCAGCACCGATGAAGACGACGATGCAGCCTCCACACACTCCCATTGGCTCGGTTGCTACGATGGCCAAGAAGTCCAAGACAACGCCTCATTCAGCTCCGCATCACACGACGAGGGATATGAGTACTCTGATGACGATTCAGACGCGGTCTCAGTCTCCTCCGCATCATCGACCTATTCTGAGGACTACGACGAACTCGATTTCGGGTGGGAGAAGAAGGAGGAACGAAGGGGGGAGGAGTACCTGCCTGCGCTCGGCTGGTGGAAAGTTTACCGTTCGGGTTGGTGGGAAAACTCAGAGGGTGCGGTGCTTTCATTTGAGGAGGATTACGTTGGGTATCGGTTTTCAGCGCTGCTGCCGATCATTTCAGAGGAGCGGGAGGAGGGCTCCTGGCCCTGAATGAACTGCGATGAGGAGAAAATTTGACTGAAAAAGAAATTCGAAAAAAAGATTTTTTTATTTTTTTTACCGACAGACTGCAAAGATCGATTTGATGGGATGGGTTGCCCATCAACCCGAAACCGATAAAAAATTCACGGACCGCAGGAACATCCCACCACACACCACTGAACAAACCCGTCGCCACTGAACCACACCGCCCCTGGTTCCTGGCTAATTTCCGAATGGGTAAAACGGCTGTGGCCACCTCGCCCCGATCAATGGCGAGGGAGGACAGAAAAAGAGAGAGAGGGCGAGGGTTACCTGCGCGCAGCCGGCTATTTAGGCGCCCCGCCGGCGTAAAGTTCTGTCCCTGCGTGTGCGACCCGGACGGAAAGGTCCTGCGAAAACAAGGTACCGAAAACCGAGGGTCTGGAAAGCTTTACAGCAGTGGTGATGGGGACCGGAATGCGATAGCGAGCATGTCCGCTACATGGATGGGAAGTTGAGAGAGACGGATGTAGAGTTATGGCAGAGATTCAGCGTTTGTGCTGATATGGGCCTTTTCTTTCTTTTTATTTTTCTTGTTTCTTCATTTCCGAGCAATTGTAACTGAACTTGACTTATCTTGTTTCTCCTCTGCTGAGAGCCTTTTGTCTGTCTTTGCTTCTTCTTCTCAATGTTTGTACTCGATTAGTTAGTTAGCCTACCTAGAGCCGAAACATCTTCGCTCCTCCTTTGTAATCCATAATCGTCCGCAAAACCTGCTTCCAGAAGAACTCAATCAACTTGATTCCGATTAGATTGACACCTACCGTCCGCCCGTCTGTACGCGTCACATCTACTTTACTCTCCCTCTCCCAGCACCCCAGCCCATTGCATTCCATTCCCACATCGCAACACCGGCCCGGCCGGATTATCTCCTCGCCCTACCTCCCTCCCCCTTCCCCTGCGTCTTTCGCCATCCCCATGTCGTTTCATGGACGGTGATCCTTGTGGTTGCTGCTATAATCCCTGCAAACACTCTAGAGTTGGCCTTAAAGGTGTCCTGCTCTACGGGGGTCTGGGGGGGGGGGGGGGGGGGCTGGATGGGTAGATAGAGTGGGTATTCAGATAGGGCTTTGACACTGCGCATGCGGCAGTGATTAAGGCCAAGGTGGTAAACAAATTTTCTTTCGTTTTTTCACATTTTTTTTCCTTTTGGCGCAGTGCATGGGCGGGATCGAGAGGGAGGGGGATGCGATGGTGTGGGACGGACGACGTCGGCGAGGCGTGTTACAGATCTTTCTAGACCACATGGGATGTGTATCTCATGTATGTAGGGAGGTGGATGGGTGGAGTGGAAGGAATGTTTATCGTACCTACATAGATCCCGCGGAAGCCCAAGGAAGTTGTTTCATGATCTCATGTATCCGACCCGAGGGCACGGAAGCGGAGATGTCGTGAGCCGTTTTATTTTAGCGTGGTGAGAGGAGATCAGTGGGATTATGTATGGATGGATGTAGGAAGGCGGTGTTTATAAGCACAGGATGCGTGTTTGGCATGCACATGCCATTGCTGTATGGAGAGTGTGGATGTGCTAAGGATGGCTGAGGGAGAACGTGCGGATCCGTGCTTAGTGGAAGGAGAGGGAAGGATGGAAGGGAAGGCGAGGGAAGGAAGAGATGAGGTTCAATTAGTAGAGTAAGATTGTAAAGGGGATAGTCCGTGTAGAGTGGTTAATTATTAATTGCGCAATTGCATATGGTTAGTAAGTTACAAATCCTGGGTCAGAATTACAGTCATGAAATATCACTCGATGGTACGCACTGACGTCCGATTGATTGATTGATAATTCATTAACATTGACGTCTGATAATTATAGTAACAAAACATCAGCTTTCGCCATAGGTCCTAGTACCCATCAATTATTCTACCTGTAGTAATCAAATCGATACTTAATAATAATACATAAGAGATATCCCAGGTAGGTAGCATACCGACATGAGCACCTTCCCAGCTACTCTAAACTATTATACACTGACCCTCTTCCTTTTCCGAAAAGTGTTACAATAATCTGTCCCGATAAACACGCACCCTTCTATATTAAGGGATATCAACAGTTTCGCTGCTGCATAATGTTTATACTTCATCGCTATGTCTAGCACCGTATTCCCCTCGCTATCCTTCATATCCAGGTCAACACCCTCCGCCAGTATCATTATTAGATCCAACGGTACCGGTGCCGGTGGGTGTACCGGGTTTAATATCTTTAGTAAATCGGCAAGCGGCGTTAGCCCGTCGACATCCCGGATATTAGTATCTGCACCACTGTTAATGAGTAGACTGATCATGTCTAGTCTGAACTCCTTAACTGCGAAGTGAAGTGCTGTTATCCCCCAGATGTCCTGGGCATTGATGTCGACGCCCAAGGTGATAAATATCTTTAGTTTTCTCATGTCAAGTGTACGGACGGCGAGATGGAGGTATGTTTGGTTTTTATATCGTGACCTAAAGTGGGGATTGCCGAGAGCAATGTGTAGAAGTGGTGTAGGGAAGTAACCAAAGATGAATGCCACATCCATAAATGTATATCCTCTGGGCGTTGTACTATTTGGATCCGCACCTCTGTCAAGAAGAAATTGGATTAGTGATCCAGGCTTCTCCAAGGACACAGCTTGGTGCAAAACAGTCACCCCTTCTTGGTTAAAGTCATTGATACCAGCCCCATTATCCAGAACTACCCGGATACAGTCTTCGTTTCCAAATTCTACCGCTATATTGAGTAGATTGCTCCCGCCATACGTGCTGATAAAGTCGATATCCATTCCTTCCAGGAGTCGCTGAAGAAGCAGTTTTTCTCTGGCTGATTGGAAAACCTCGAAGTTGATTATGTTATCAAAAACGGTATTCCCGTCATTGTCCCTAATTCTAACATCTGCGCCACTGTCTAGCAGTGCCCACGCAATTCGAGGCGTATTTCGTGGCCATTGAATCAATAGACAATGGAGTGGGGTTTTCCCCGTCGAATTCATTACATCAACTGCCGCTCCTCTTGATAGTAACAGATCAACCATCTCTTTGTAACCGACTACTGCGGCATCATGCAGAGCTGTGCACCCAAGGATATCCGCATCATTTATCCTTGAACCTTGATCCAGGAAGTGGGTAGCCATCTCTAGATCTTGAAAAAGCACTGCTATATGAAGAGCCGTCTGTGATAAGCTGCTTCGATAATCTTGTTTCAACCTTTTGAGGATCATCATCGATATGGGGTCACTATCCCCACGCGTAAATTCCCTCATCTCAATAGGAGTCCACCCCCTAGAATCAGCAACATTGCAATCGGCTCCCGAGTCAAGCAGGACTCTAACGATATTTGGGTCCCTCTGTACTGCCGCAAGATGGAGCACTCCCATTCCAGCATTATCTTGAGTATTGATTTTGCAACCTTGGTCGATCAAGCGCGTTATAACATCTACGCGGCCCTCCCAGATGGCATGAAAAAGCGCCGTCCACCCACGGATATCCTTAACATCCAACTCAGTACTCGACTCTAGTATCATCCCCAAATGTCTATGATGTCCTTGCCGCGCCGCTTCGTGGAGAGGCGTACACAAGTCGAATGCGTCTTGAACGGTGATCTTCCTGGCATCAAGCTCCAGCAAGGTTTCGATAAGAGCAGCTGTATAAGCAGGGTTTACCGGTGGTCTGAAAATTATCGGGCCTGAACTGCTCCGCCTCACTGCGAAGTTTTTGCTCTTCTCCATTAACAAAGCCATGAGCTCTCTATTTCTAGTTAATGTTGCCCAGTAGAATGCGAGCTTTCTGTATCTCGGCGCGAGTGCGTTGCGGTAGAACATTCCAACTAAAAGCTCACAGAAGGAGCGGCTGACAGATAAGAGTGTTTTCAGATCCGAAAAGCAAAGGTTCTCGGCGATGATGATAATCAGTTCGTAGGGGATAAATGGACGCGATCTGGAAGGACTAGTATTAGGCATTCGGGGTGCAATGCACTTCCGTGGTTGTAAGGGTTTAGGAGGTGTAGATATATCCAACAAGACGACGATAGGTCTAGTTCAGCGAACATGCAGTAAAAACATCGGGTCTTGAAATGTGGAGGGGTGATAGATGATAGAGATGGTGATGCCGTGTCCGATTAGTAGTGGATGAAGGTATATATGTAGACTATAAAACTTGGCCTTTCTACTAGCTACGTGCGAATTACATGAAACGTAGAACTAGCACCTACTAAGTACACAGTATAAATTACGATACTTGTAATTTATAAGTTCGTACAAGTAGGCACTACTATGTAATATAAGAGCACTGGGTGACTTATGTACTTTGCATCGACTTGGTGATATAAATACATCATTTATCGTCCAACTATCTGTCGCCTCTAACCCAAGACGGAGACAAATATGGGATTTCTTCTCATATAACTTGTTTTTTCCCTTGTGAAAATGATCCCTGAAGGTAACGAATCATTTGTTGAAACATTCGTCAATTTACTCACGATCTATCACTCGATTGTGTCATCAACTACATTCCGTTATTTAGTACATCTCCGCAACTATCAAATGTCTACACAACAATATATATACATAATTCCTTCTATATACACGGAAAACCAAAGAAATCCTTAAACTGCACTGACCCCCATGGCTTTTTATTAGGCCTGACGATCGTCCCAAGCAAAAAAAACAAAGCTTTTGAAAGAGGTTCAAATTGATACAAGTCACAGTGCTTCACCTTCACGGCTATATCTAGAAAGGTGATAGTTATACCCAGAATGGTGTTAGCAATAAATCTAATCTTGATGCAGTAATAATGTTGCCCACCATGGCTAAACATTCGTGCCTTCAAAACAGAGGGAAGGATACCTCGCCGAGTATGAACACACAAACATATAAAAAGACGGTCGAAGAACAGTAAGATGCCACTCATCTGCGCTTTAATAGTTTTACTAGCCGTCTCGTCCGTATCTCGTCGATGCGGGGAAGCTGACCAGCTTTAAATCTCCGGGATAAGGCAATATCATGCGCTGTGCGCCCAGATGAAGGGACCACCATGGTCTTATCTGCTTTAAACCCGACAAGAATACGGCAGGCACTCAGCGCTGTCTTGATGTCTTCCAACCTTGCCGCGATGTGTAGCGCTGTGACTCCAGCGCGGTTTTTTGCATTAACATTCGCGCCAGACCTCAGCAACAACCGTATCATGAAGTCCCAGCCACTCTGCACTGCGTAATGCAAGGGCGTACACTCATTAAGATCTCTCGAATTGACATTTTCCTGGCACTCTCGAACAAGCGACACCGCTTTCGTTCGCCCCTCAAAATCATTGGTCATCCTGAAGTGCTCCCTATTAATGCAGGCAAGATGCAGTATATTCCGGCAACACTGATCAGTACCCGGAAGACCCATCGTGTTACTCGGGAGTGCCACCTTGAAGACAATTTCTGAGGGTCTTCCGTACGTGTCCTGCAGGTGTACTAGATGTGCTGCAGTCGCTATCATGTTTACGACTTTGCTATTGCCTTCGAGAGCCGCAGAAAGTAGGATTGTGGGCTTGCGTCCGGAACCCATAGGTGTAAAAAGCTCGACCGGGCCCGGCGCGCCTGCATTGGGGAGATTATCCACCGTGTGACTTTTCAAGTAGAGAGAGGCACGTGTGCGATTATTTCTGGTGCCTGTGAGAAGGTGGAGGGGCGCACCCACTCTGATGAGATTGCGGAGTGTGCCAGGATTCAGGGTGAGAGAGGCGCATGCGAGAGTATCGACAACATTTAGATAGAGGTTGTTGTCTAGAAATCTCTTGTAAAGGGGTACGATGAGAAGATGGTAGAATCGGCGATTTGTCCGGATTAGATTGTAAAGGGCATCGTAGGAGAGGTATGGAGCAAGACAAACGAGGATGTCATTTGGTAGATCGAAAAGAGGGAAGAAATAAACGGGATCTTCAATCGGTTTGCTCTGGCCTGTGAAGACCTTCCGAATTCTCTCTTTAAGACGCATCTTTTGCCAGATGGTTGACCGGGGGGGTGACTTGTATCTTGAGTTGCAGCACTTAAGTACTTCGAATCATCAAGGGCTGGATCTGACCGAGGTACGTACCCTCTGGATCATTGAATGCAAGATGCGAGGTGTCCACATTTTCAATTATATATGAATCTTAAAATAGCCATCATTACACGTTAGTTACGCTATATTTTACCCTAGTTGTTATTATGACCGAAACGCGGCCTCATCAGCTATACCATTGACATCTAGTAGAGCCGTATGTAGCCCGGAAGATCCACATGAGATCATCGAGCATCACTCGTTTATTCTGAGCGGAAATACAAGTAATGTAGCAGCTAGTAGACTAACCCGTTTAAATAGAGGGTACTGAGTTAATAACATGCTGTGCTCCATACAAAGCAGATGAGTAACAATCAAATTGGGAGGGTACTGGTTGCCAAATTGCTTGTTGCGGGTAGATGCGGAATGGGCAGAACCCGCAAAGTAGTAGAGTTTCTTCCTTTAAAACTTTCGAAAAGATAAAGAAGGGGGGTGGGGGAGCGGTTGCAGGTCCACTGAAGTTCGTACGTACATCTCACTACCGCCTACAGGCTACAGGCTGTACTTATACTACCGGGCGGTGTTTGGGGCGGAGTAATGATAGACTGTTCGAGAGGCGAGCGGAGCTTCGATATCGATTGTCGGCACGTGGTGACTGTAGTCTTTCTAGCTCAAATATTAGGTTAAGGGCTCGTTTGCCAGTTTAAGGCGTTGTAACAGACTTATGCAAAAGGGTCACTTATGTTGAGAGGACAAGTTGCGCTCTAGAAAAGTGGGTTACCTGTGGTTTGGTAAGTTACTTAACCAAATGTGGTTGGGTTGAAGTGATATTGTAACAGTGATGGGGAGAATTATTGCGAAAACAGGGGTTGGCGAGCGTGCTAAAAAAGCCTAGCGAGTATCAAAATTCGTGAATTTACTAACAAAACGTCCCAATTTCAGTTTTTAGTCGAGTGCTGAAGCCGTGAACCGCTGAAAACTGCGTGAAGCCCGCCTAAAGCCCGCCTGAGGCTCCTCTTCGCCCAATCAAAGCCCTAACCCACCTGTGCGGCCCCACAGAGCTCGCCAACCCCTGTTTTCGCAATAATTCTCCCCATCACTGTAGCAATGGGAAACGAAAAGCAGGGTCGGGGCAGCTTTTTTATTTCCGTGGATTTGTTGACTTTGGTTGACTTTTGTATTACAAATCTACTGGACAGAATGTGTTGCCAAACACTCAAATCTTGTTAATAAGTCAATACAAGTATTTCACGGATAAGTCATTCCCCACCACCAAAATTTAACAAGTCGACCCCGTTGCCAAACGGGCCCTACTAGAAGTCTGTTGGTTTTTGGGCTTCCGAGTCTGATAGTTGTGCTGGGCTTATGGAGCCCCATTACTACATGTAATAACCCCCCCCCCCCCCCTCCTAAACAAAGCGCAACCGAGTGATATCTCATGCGAAAAGCCGAGTGATCTCCCGTGTTCAGTCATAGAACGATGAAAATTGGGCATCCCGTTCGCTCTGCCATACACAAACCTCGTATCGCTCAGCCAGTACTGCAGTGGGTGACCATGCGGGAATCCTGGGTACTGAACTCTTTTGTATTTTTGGTTTTGTTGGTTTGGGGTGAAGGGTTGTGGCAGCGGTGGGACGAGTTATGGTTGGGAGTGTGGTTGGTGTGGTGGCAACCGGTCTTAATACCATAGAGAAACCTCAATAACAGCTCTATAAAGCTTGGTGTGTGAAATCCCGTTATAACATTTCATTGCCCTGCGCTAGTTTCTCGTGGTTGCAAAGTACCCAATATTAGAACCTCAAACGGCTCCGGTTCATGATGGGGTAGCACTGGGGACTGGCCATGAGACGAATATCTTCTTAAAAGTGACAGCCAACGATTGGCCTCTTGTAGATACTAGAGAGATTGTTATGGACTATTTCTGAGTTATTCTGGCAGGCTGTAGACTATACAGGTTTTACAGTGAACCGTAATTTGCACACACGGCTATGACTATGGACGATGGTAATATAATCCCTTAAAGCTCATAACGTGAACTACTGGATACTACAATGGGCACTAGAGAATTTACGTTAGTTGTTATTGTATAAAAATTCTAGAAACGTGAATTATTATAGGGCTGGGTTTCTAGTCCGGTAAACATCTCGGGTCAATGATCACAGCCGCAAAAAAAGAGTCAATTCAAAGCCAATGATATTAACTACCTATCCACACCACCCTACACCACCTCCTTCCCCTCCGTTGGCGCCGCCACCGCCACATCCGCATAAACATCAAACCTCCTCTGCCTCGTCACGGGAATGCCCCTGCGCACCTCCACCACCCTCTCCGGCACCAACTCCCACTCCACATACCCCTCGCCCTCCTCCATCCCCGCCACCACCTCTCCATTCGGATCAACAACCATGCTATGCCCCCACGCCGTATACCCGGCCTCCTCGCTGCGCGCAGGACTACACATCCCCACCCACACCTGATTATCCACGGCCCTCGCCCTTGCCAGCAGCTCCCAGTGCAGCGGCCCCGTCGTCATGTTGAACGCGCCGGGGTACAGCATCGCGAACGCACCCTGCCGCGCCGCCATCATCGCCAGCTCGGGGAAGCGCACGTCGTAGCAGATGCCGACGCCGACGCGCCCATACGGCGTGTCGATGAGTGTTGGGGTGTTGCCGGCGGAGAGCACCTCGCTCTCGATGAAGCGGATCTTGCCGGGGATGTCGATGTCGAAGAGGTGGATTTTGCGGTGGGCGGCGAGCAGCGCGCCGGTGGGGGAGAAGGTGAGGGAGGTGTTGTAGAGGGCGTCGGTGGCGGGGTCGTGCTCGGGGATGGACCCGCCGATGAGGTAGATGTTGTTTTCGCGCGCGGCGGTGGAGAGCGCGGTGTAGGAGGGGGTGAGGGATTCGGGGTAGGTGGTGTTGCCGTGGGGGACGGGTTCGGCGTAGGTCCGGAAGTAGGAGGTGCCGTAGGGGGAGTTGAAGCATTCGGGCAGGACTACGATGTTGGCGCCGCGGGCGGCGGCGGCGGCGACCTGCTTGCGGGCGTTGGCAAGGTTGGCGGCTTTGTCGTTGCCTGTGTGCGTGGGGGGTTAGTCTCGTGCCCGCCTTGTAGTGGAAGCGCTGCTACGGATAGTACTGACCGCTTGCGAGCTGGAGCAGGGCTAGTTTGCAGGGCTTCTTGAGCGGCGATGGGGGCGGTGCGGTGGACATTGTTCTTGTGGCGGCGGCGGCGGTGGGACTGGTGATGGTAGATTTGACGGCGGAGAAGAGCTGCCGCAACATTCGTATATATATGCGCGTGATTTCGGGCAATTGCGGGCAATTGGCGTCGAGTATGACCGGAGATGCTAAGTGTCAGGTTTGAGGGTGAGATTGATAGCCGGGGTTAGGGTTTCGTTTCGTTAACCGCAACCCCACCTACCCGTTCCGTGTTAAGCGTGCGGGTGCTGATGTTGCAGTAGTAATGGGGCGTGCTGCTAGCCCAGTACGGCGTCAATTAATACTGCAGCCCTTATCACCGACGCCGAGGAACAGTTAGAGTGCTGGGTAATAACAATCCGTGTGCTAGGAGAGCGTAAATATTGGCTATAGCTAAGCTGTCATTCATGTGCGGCAAGGGGGGGTTATTGCCTACCTACATGTAATTGAGCCAACGCAGTCGAAATGTCCGTTTTTCTGATAGACTACCCAGCAACAGTTTCCTTCAGGAGTAGTGTACTGGGTTTTAGCCGGATTTTTTGTCGTAGTTATGGTTATCGTTAATATAATTGTAATTAGCTGTTGAGAACGATGAAGGTTTTATTGATTTATACGTGCTTAATACAGAAGTAAAATTAGAGAAGGAAAGACAGAAGAGAGTTCGTTGACTACAGCCCTTGCAAGCATCACCCAGGCTTACTCGTCATAACCCGGCCTTCCTCCCCTGCTCAGCCCGTTCGTACCTCATACTAATGAAGAGCATAGGACGCTCGATTTCAACATTAGCGGTAGAATCGAATAGCAGCACTAGTCCGGCTGACTATTGACCGTAATATGTGTGGAAATACCTGCTAATAAAACATCATTAACTTTATCAATGACACCTTTTTTCTATTAAGAATCGGATTAGCCTTTTAGACGAGACGAACCTCTGGACCTCTGGACCATAAAGCCCTGCCAGAGCTCAGTCTTTAATTTGCGGAGGAGAGTGAGAGGCTGTGAGACGTACAGCACTCGGTTAATGACAGTCTAGCTCCCTGCCCACCAAATTATCTGTAGCTGTGACGAGATTCCAGAAAGCGTGGAGAAAAGCGCAGACAGCTAGATGGGGGCGTATAAGAGACAGAGGCTGATGGGTGGATGGAGAACCCAGCCAGCCGGTAAAGTCTACCACATCACCTGAGTCCTAGATGGTGTACGTATACCTTTCGAAGTACGTTTCTATAGCTGGCTCTTTCAGTGTTTGCTGACACAGCGCGGTCATAGCCTAACCGATACAAGGCGGTGTAGCGGACATGCAGCTTAAGAATTCTTTCTTTCTTTATTTCTTCTTTCCTTCTTGACTCTACGTTATAACGCTATATATAGATGTTAGATGGAGATGGAGATGAGATACCTCTGGCCATGAACCCCTCTCTTATTGACCATACTATATGGTGGGGGAAGCCTTGTCACAGAGTACTAGTAGTTTAAACACCTCAACTTTGACCGCTTATAGCTCACCAACCAAATTTTATTAGATAGATCTACTCAGTTTCACCTGCTCTATCATTTTATCTGCTCGGACTTTTAAAATCATTCTTCATTGTTGAGTTATAAAAATATTTTGGCTGAGACAATGTCGCTTGTATGGTCAAAAAAAGTATTGCGGGTTGACAAAATTAACCGGACATGTACATACGTTACAACCAAATTTTGTAAGAAATTCAACTTCAACGTCCCCTTGCAACACAACCACAACTTGAAAAGTCAAGAGATGTTATATCTGTGATCCTCTATACTTTTATTATCTCAGGTTTTAATGTGGACTTAATCACAGGTATTTGGGGGGTTAGTTACTGTGGTCTATTTGGTTTGGGTGGTTTTAACGCAGTGTCCAGTTAATTTTGTCAACCCGCAATACTTTCCCTACTCTTGGCACGTGATTTGTATGTGTTAGTAAGCAAAATCAATGTCGCGGCACTCCGTGTCAAGGTTCCTCCACCATAACCCCCAAAAAGCAAACCCGGCCGAGTTGTGGCCTCTAATTGGCCCATGAGTCCACTTCCATGCCTTTAATTTAAGAGTGTGCGCACCATACCTACTAATTCCAGAGTAGGCTGTGCTTCTAGCTTTTCAAGGATCCCAGTTTCGGCTGTGGTCCTATGGGAAATAGTATATGACAAGGCTCGAGTCCGGGCCCTCTCACCACAACTGAGTACCCCGCAAAACCTATCTTTCAACTACTTTTAAGCAGGCAAGTCTGTTCCACCAGTACTGGGAGATAGCTTGGTCTAAGAATCCGCCGAGGTGAGATCATATATTTATGGTCAGATAAATAATTGATCTATTTCTAACGCTTTATTTCATCTCCAGATAGACGTAGCCAGATCAGAACCCCTCCGCCCCAACCACGGAAATCTGCAACTCCGCAACAAAATTCAACCGAAACTACCGCACACAAAACAATATCTGCGAAATGGGAAACTATCGATGCTATGTTTTCCTTGCTTTAGTCTTCCTGTGGGATATCTGCTCGGCCGTTTCTAACGACACTCAATTCGAACCAACATTCGTTTCGGAGCCTAGAGGCCGAGGAACGATGGGTATTTTATGGAGTTGTATAATCACTCTTGGTCTTTGTGTTTGGACCTCAGTCCATCCCGACATTATCCCGAATCCAACAACATTAAGAATCACAATTCGTAGGGTTGTGTGGATGTTTTGGGCACTGTTTACTCCCGAATTAATCGTTGGGTCGGCCTGCGTACAGAGAAAAAATGCCAAACTGGTCCACGACACTTGGTGCGCGCATTTTGGCATCAAACCAGGAAGCTCTCAGGACAACATGGGGATGGAGGGGGCCTTTTTCGTCGTGATGGGGGGTTTTGTAGTGAATGAAGATTTAGAAGCGGGGGAGGACGGTGAGAAAGATGATTTCACACGCGACCGCTGCATTCTTACCCATGAGGGCTTCCTACATTACCTGTCGAAGGATCAAATCCCAATGGATGCTATCAACAAAAGAGTGATTGCGGATAAAGGAAAAGCCGATCTCATTGCAAAGTTTTTTGTTTGTCTTCAAGCACTTTGGATGGTTTTTCAGTGCTCCGCGCGCAAAGCCACGGGCTTGCCGATTACTCTACTCGAACTGCATGTGGTTATACAAGTGTTTTTTGTGTTGGTATCATATACTCAATGGTTCTACAAACCCTTAAATATCAACGAGCCCATAATACTAAGTCTACCAGTCGAGGTTGAGGAGAGCGCCTTCCTACGGGTTAACAGGTATAGAAATGTGTTTTTAGAGGTGATGGGCTCTCTCGAAGAAGCTAGCGACATTGGTTCAGGTTATTGCTACTGGGTGACGCTCGGCACAGTTATCATCACAAGCTGCGCTCATATGAGTGCTTGGAACTATCCGTTCCCTACATATGCCGAGCAAATACTGTGGAGGGTATCATCCATCGCTCTCGCTACACCCTCTATTTCCCTCATATGTGAGCTCCTTGACTCTAGTTCACATAATTTTAATAGCACTATGTACAATTTTATCTATCGAACTACGGCAGTTATCTTCATGTTGATCTGTATACCCCTTTACCTGTTTAGTATCACCTTTATAACGGTGGAGGCGTTTATAAGCCTGCGGAAGGTTCCTTTGGGGACCTATGATTCTGTTCAGTGGGTGGATTTTTGGCCTCATATCTAGCTGTTCCTGTTGTATGTATTGGTTTGCATTTATTTCCTTGCTTGTTCCGTTCTACATAGCCGGTCGGTTTCTTTATTCAGTTTTGTTGTTTCTTGTACATGCTGGGAGCGCCAGAACCCACGCAGTGGGTGGGAGAATTGGGGGAATTTGGTCACCCGCCTCTCTTTTATAGAGTTTCTTTCTTTCTCTTTCTTCTTCTGTCTGACTGCTTTCTTCTGTTTTAACGATTTCTTTGGAACGTATATACATACCTGGTGATGGCATATATAACAGTTTTTCTTTTTTCCCTCTTTTTTACAAACCGGGTGGCCTATCGGAGATCGGTATATCAGTAATGCTTCGCCATATATAACGGCGAATAGTCAATGATCATTGCTCGAACCTCCGTGATTGATTGATTGATTGATTGATTACTTCATTAATTATATGCAACCCGGAGGTTATGACAATATCTGACGTACCAAAGGAAAATGAAACAAAACAAAAACAAAAACAAAGTAAAGTAAAGTAACTAAACGATTTTCGCCATATCTCTCCTCCTATCCTCTTTTTTCTGGCCATATAGGGGTTTCCTGTATGTACCACTAGTAGTATGATACCAGATGCGAGTTTTGGAGAGGTTAGCTCAGCTATATATCGCGATACATGCATGTACTTAATACTAGTAGTTTAGTTATAGAACCCCTCCCTCCCTCCCTCCCTCCCTCCCTCCCTCCCTCCGATAAGACTCCAATCATAAATTGCTCCTAATACCAGTGGTTATATATGTTCCGTCCCAGCCGCAAACACTGATTATTGGCCAATGGGTCATAATTGGTGAACGAGCACTGGTTTTTTCCGCTTACAGGGCATTTTGCTAAATATACTTCTCATCGTTTTCGGTGGAAAGTCCTTGGCCCCGGTTAATTAGCTATTCATTAATGAAATATTTATTTGCATTACTTATGCATATGTAGCCCCGGCCCAGGACGGTGGTATATCCGCCCCGCGGGGGGGGGGGGGGGGGGGTGGGCAAGGGCCAGGTACATACAATGTGGTCCACGAGGACGAGCGTCCTTGTGTCCTTGCCTCGAGGACAATGCATGAATGTCCTTGCCCCGAGGGCTTCCAAGGGCAATTCTTGGCTATAATACATGACACATAATATTAATATGTACTAATAGAATAAGGTCATTAATAAACATACCTTTCATTTTAAGATTTTTGCTCTACCGGGTCGTTTTATATCGTCCTCGAGGTACCTCGAGCACAGATAAGGGCAGAGGTCAACATGCAACGAGGACGAGGTACCTTGAGGACCCCCCCCCCCCAAATCTCGCCTCGAGTGTCCTCGTGGACCACACTAGGTACACAAATGTAGGTAGAATGTGCTCTTTGAGGTTTCTTGGTTGTTAGCTATATATAGGCAGTGACCTTTGGGAGCTAAGTAGCTAGACAATATTCACAATCACCGCTTTGGTCAAATTCTGGCATGAGGCACGGGCCAACCGGACCGAAGATGATCAGTGACTGTTTTGCCAAACCTCAAGAAACATTGGTCAATAGTGAAATATTTTATCAACAGGACGGTCAGTTAGGCGATATGGGTCGGCCGGCTGTTTGGCAATGAAATATATATACGCGTGGCTGGGACGGAGCGTATATATCACCCACATGAACTGCACGACTTCAACTTCAACTCCAACTCCAATTTCAACTTCAACTACAACTCCAACTCCAACTCCAACTTCAACTCCACTTCAACTCCAACTTCAACTTCAACTTCGATCCCAATACCCGCCATATTAATACCCCCATCTTACAGTCAAAAACAACTGCAGGCTACCTATATAGCTATATATAATACCTACCCAAGTACGGCGACGTTTAATTGAACCCATAACTAGTGGGGGTAGATAGAATCCGCTATGTGTATGTATATGGTTCACCGTGTTACGTTTTGACCAACTGGGGTGTGGGATCTAGGGATAGGTAGCTTAGGTATTGTGTGGTGGGCGGGTTGTGGCGTGCTGTTTAGAATATTGAAATGTATTGAAATACGTGGGGAGGAATGCAACATGGGGGGGGGGGGGGGGGAGTTGTAGGTTGGAGTGTTGATGGTGCGTAGACAGGCCCACGCTAGGTAAAGCAGGAGGCAGCGCTTATGGCTAGTTAAGGTCAAGGATTGATTTTACCACTTTTTAGAACAGCTGCGCACGTCTTTAACTATCTGAACAGAAAAGGATATCACCCATCTAAATATTTTACATCCGCCCACAGAATCCACACTACTATACAGCAAGCCTCCAAGCCAACCTAACGCCCACCGCATCTACCACGCCCCTCCATGATGCCCACCCCCACCCTGCACCCTCCTCATCTTCGTCTCATGGCACTTCACAAACTTGACCAGCCCCTCCCTCTCTCGCTCCCCAATTTCCCCCGCCACCCTCCCCCCCCTCCCCAGCTCCACAACCCCCCCATGGTCCAGCAGCGCCTCCGCCATCTCCATCCCCTCCCCACACATTCGCCGCACAACCACCATCTCCAGCGCCGTCTCCCCCGTGTCCGCCTTCACGCCCACGTCCGCCCCCAGCTCCGCAAAGTTCCTGACGAAATGCTCCTCGCCGTGCTCGGCCGCATGGAACAGCGCCGTCTTCCCCTCGCGGTCAACCGCATCGATGTCGGCCCCGTTGGCCACCAGCAACGCAACAACACGCCTATGCATCTCTCGCGCAGCCTCGCGGCGGCCGCGCGCATCGCGCGGCAGCACGGTGCCGCTGGGCGAGGCGCGGATCTGAGAGTAGTGCTCGCCGAAGCGGCGCTGCGGCGAGTAGTCGCCGCTCGTGGCGGCAAAGTGTAGGATCGGGCGGCCGCTGGCGGGGTTGCGCTGCGAGATCATGGCGGGGCGGGCGGCGAGGAGCGCGACGATGGTCTCGGTGGGGTCAATGGGGGTGAGGGCGGCCATGGAGCAGAAGTTCTGCAGCGCCCATTGCAGCGGGGTGTGGGCTGCGCCGTCGGTGGTGGTGAAGTCCGGGGTTGCGCCGGAGCGGAGGAGGAGCTTGACGACTTTGTCGTGGCCCCAGGAGGCGGCGTAGTGGAGTGCTGTTGCGGCGTGTTGGGTTGTGGCGGGGTCGCTGCGGAGGTTGACGTCCACGCCGGCGGTCTCGAGGAAGAGTCTGGTGACGCTGGCGAAGCCGTTGAGGGCCGCGAGGTGGAAGGGCGTGTAGCCGTGGGAGTCGATGAGGAGGCTGGCTGCGGCGGCGTCCTCGTGCTGGAGCATTGTCTCGACGACGGCGAGCTGGCCGTCGCGCGCGGCGACGTGCAGTGGGTTTTCGATGCCCGTCCAGGGCTTGGGGTCGATCATGCTGACGCCGCGGTCGAGGAGGTATTGGACGACATTGACGTGCCCGAGTTTGGCGGCCCGGCACAGCGCGGAGGCGGCGCTGCGGCTGTAGGGGTTGATGAGGAAGGCGGTGTCGTAGAGGACGGGTGTGAGGAGGGTTGACAGGCGCCGGTTGGCGAGGAGGAAATGGGAGATGTCTCGGGGGTCGTCGACGTAGGAAGCTATCGCGATAATGAGGGCATCCGTGAGTGTCAAGAGAGGTGTCCCATGTCTTGGGGGGGTAGAGGCGGATCTGTTTCTTAACCTGCGGAATGATAGGAAGTTCAAGGAGGACAATCGGCGGTGTTCACGGACCATGGTTAAGTACTTCTAAGGTATTATAATTTAATAGAGTTGGGTGTTAAAGGGCCATAGCTGAGCTCTTATATGTTGACAAGAGCTGCGTGGGGCTGAATGTCTGCGACATTGCCCTCTGTGGGGGAATCTCTGGTAGCCTATGAGATCGATCATCGATGGACGGCTGAGGAGAGATGGGTCAAGGATAGTTGCGCACTCGATGATTGACCCCTTTTCTATTATTGGTGCAACGCAGCTCTGACATTAATTCGCATTCGCACAAGAGAGCGGTGCCAAGAAAGGCCGCGTGTAACCAACAACACACAGCTAAGCAGCGCCAATTGCAAACGCTATTCCTGGACAGAAACGGGGGTTCTGAAATTCATATCATCAGGAGATATGGTCATTAGGATACGTGTATGCCGTTTGATACCGGTAGTGGAGGTAATAGTAAGATCTAACGTTGCTAAACTGTTGCAGTAGATCAAACGATGACAGCTGCAGGAAGTGATGCATTAGGTCTCACTACCAATTAGGGGTCAATGAATCCGTGAGCACGGTTTGAGATGATGTTTTGACCTTAAGAGTGGGGAAACACGTGGCTAGTCGAGCGCTGTTAGAAGTGCAGTTTGAAGAAGGGATGCGCCTCCGCCACACAGCAGATTGATCTTAATATGATTGTCTTTTAGATCATATGAATGGCTAGCTTGTTAGAGTCAAAGAACCCACAGCATCTAGACTGAGGGTACCTTTCCTTATAATTAGGATATGTGACTCCCGGCTAGCTAGGGCTCCTCCAATGGTCGCTGCCGCGGGTGGCAACTATTTCATAGAATCTCACTCGGAGAGGACATTGTTCCGATCATCGAAACAACCATGCCCTATTGATGCATATATATATGACCACGGGCCAGGAGTGACTGACATGACGATACTCGAAGGCCCAGGCTAGGGCTGTATATGAACCTAAATGAGCAACTATTATTAGCCAGCCAAGGAGGCGAATTGCAAACGTGTATCAAAACCAATGGCGTGAGTGGTTCACCTACTGACCAGTAAATTGATGTCATAAGAGCAGGTACCCTCATGGTACTTGTAATGGAACCGGTAAAGTCAATTTTGGTAAAGAGGATCAATTATATGCATGAGCATGACAAACAACAAAAATCTCCTCAAAACGTCCCAAGTGCACGTGGGAAAAGAAAGAAAACAAATAAACGACAGATAAGCAAAAGAAAAGACATAAACAACACGACAAGATCTCCAACATATCCCCAGACCTCCGGCCTGGCTACTAAGAAATCAGACTCCCATCACAAAACGCACTAGTCCAAGAAATCAGAGAGGTCAAAGAAAGCTAGAAAAGAAAGGGAAGACCCACGACCACCGCTGCCCCCGAGGAGAAAAGAAAGAAAGAAAGCGTGGAGGAGGACAGAGGGTAGTTTTATAGCTAGACGTTGGAAGGAGGGCAACTAATGTTTCTACATCGCATACGTACACGTATACGTGTTTGGACATCTTGCGCCAAGCTTAAGTCGGGGAAATTTCACTTGTACCGATACATCTGGCCAGATGGGGCACTGGTCGTACGATCGTGAGTGGACAGAATTTTTGACAACAGAAAAACTTATTTAATATAACGCTCGGTATGTAAATGCATGCTACTTATCCCATATGCTGACGTTAAAGCTGTCAACTTTGCCAAGTATCATGTCTCAATTCTGTGGCTTGCGCGCGAGGCTCGCCTGATGTTACCTTGTCTTATGTTGGCAGCATTTAAGTAACAGCTTAAGGGATAACTACCTACATACATGAAACATCCTGCATGCAATTGCGTTGACTAGCCAAGCTAGGTCAATGATTGAAACGTGTTTTGTTTTCGCTGCCTCTTAAGCTTGGCAGTATTTCTCTGGGAGTCAACTCCATATCTTGCAATTGTCGTTTTGAGAAATCGGAAAACTAAAATATCTTGATAGGGATCGCTCCAATATGATAAGGCATTCCTATATAGTCACGAAGCTTTCCGAAACACAAGCTTTTCGCACAGATTGTTTGGGCACGCACGTGCGCAGTACTGGTGACAAAACAAAGGAGTCAAATATCTACATGTATGTACCCACTGCCTCTTGCAGATCGGGTGACTATTCAACAGCTTCAATTGATCAAGTACTAACTAGACCCGGTTTAGAAATCCATTTGAGATCGCAGAGTGTGTAATACCCAGCATACTGCGCGTAATGCTCAGTCTTCTGGGATAGCCAGCGATTCGTGCATCCATGTGACGCACATTGACGTGCAAGGATGCTCACCGGCCAGTCGACGCTGATTGGCTTCACCGACTGCCAGTGGTGCCCGGGTGCACGATCGACTGATTGCCCACCAACTTCCTGCAACACCCACTTTACTTCTTCTTCTTCTTCTTCTCCTTCGAGATGGCCGCTGGCTCTCCAGCTCCAGCTCCAGCTCTTCCAACCTCCACACCGCACGAAAAATGCCTCTCTCCGCCCTCGCCGCCGAGCTCCTCCTTCTAGTCGCCGACGAGCTCTCCCTCCACGACGTCTCTTCCCTCCTCCGCACAAACCGCCCCCTCAACGCCCTCCTCACCCCGCACCTCTACACCCGCGCCAAAACCCTCATACTCCCCCCCCGCGATGACCTCCAAAACCCCGAACCCCTTCTCAACAACCTCGCCCGCCTCGGCCGCATCCGCTCCGTCACACACCTCCTCAATGCCGGCGCATCGTACACCTCCGGCGCCCCGCCCGCCCTCTACACTGCCGCGGAACACGGCCAGGAGGAGATAGTGAGCCTCATGATCGCGTACCACACGGCAAGAACCGAGGGCGTAGCTGTCCACGTTGCATGCCAGACACACAACTATGGCCGCAGCGCGCTGCACACGGCCGCGGAGAACGGCCACGACGCGACAGTCCGCGTGCTGCTCGAGGCGGGCTTCAGCGAGATGCAGCAGGCACAGGATGGGGCGACGCCGCTGGTGCTGGCTGTCAGGAATGCTCACGTGCAGGTTGTGCGGACGCTGCTTGAGTATGGAGCATCGCCGAATGTGGTTGTGGGCGGGATGGCGGTTGCCGCCGCGAGGAAGAAGCCATTGATCCACTGGGTTGTGGAGAACGCGTTTGCCGTGAGGGTCCTGCGGGGGCTTGATTTCCTGCCCGTGCTGCGCCTGCTACTCGACTACGGTGCCGACGTTCTCTCGCGTGACGGGTACCGCGCTACGCCGCTTCACAGCGCCGCCAAGAGCGGGGAGGGTGTTTCGGCCGGGCTGTTTTTGCGGTCATTGGGAGAGGGGATGAAGGCGGGTGGGAAGCTGGTGCATTCTCAGATAGTGGCCCTGCTGATTGAGAGGGGTGCGGACTGCAATGCGAGGGATCAGGGGGGGAGGACGCCGCTGCACAACGCGGCGGAATTTCAGGATGTGGGGGTGGTGAGGATGTTGTTGGAGGCGGGTGCGGAGAGGGAAGCGGTGAATGGTTCGGGAAAGACGCCGGTATGGTTGGCGAGTGCGAATGGCTGGCCGAGAAGTTCGGGGGAGATTGTGAAGTTGTTGGAGGATTGGTCGATTGGGCCTGGCGAGTGTTAGCTTATGGGAAGCACAAGTGAATATCTGCAGGGACATGTGTAGGATATTTTTGAGGGCCTGGAGACTGATGCCTTTCTAAAAAAAAAAACCCAGCTCGATCCAATATGTAATTCTGCAACGTTCATGACAATGTGGGGTGGAAGAGAGAGAGAGAGGGAGAGGGAGAAGTGTGACCTCGCTCTCCTCATAAATATTCTAGTTTCCTAATTACAACTTGTCCTTTATCCCACTGCACTGAACAGGTGTTTCTATACTGTCCTCCTTACCAACCGGTACGCGGTGCTAGTGGGTGGTCACCACAATTTGGCTAGCTAGCTAGAACCCACTACGTGAGAGCTTGCTTGAGAGCGCACCAGGCGGGACTCGCGCCATGATATTGTTCAATACAGCACATTCTAGTGCGTGCGAGTGATGCGACGTGACGAGAGTAGTACGGTCTACTGAATTGGCGGTTGGGAAGCGCTAGTAGATGCCAAGAGTAAATGTAGCGCTGCTACTAATAATCCTCTAATAATTAGCGGGCACAACGGTACAAGTATATAAGAACTACATTTTCGAACAGTGGTTTCATTCAACCTGATTCCAATACCAGGAATCACTCGAGTCGTAAACACAATACCTTATTTCGATCCGCATTGATTGATTGATAATTCACTAACTGTATACTTTAATCCGCAAACCTGGCAGTGGGGCGAATTGCCCTTTGTTATCCAAGTACTTTATCGAACCCACGACGATGTTTGATACCTGATCCACCAAACTAATCAAAGACCCCCCCGAACCACTAGGCAAGCCCGAGAAACACCACCCACATTATCGAAAGCTCACGAACAATTCCTTGGCACGCAATAATGGAATCCTCAAAGAGCGCCCACCGCCCACCCTCCACGATTCCAGAACCCCTAACAAAGAAACCCCCCCCTCCCGCCCACAAAATAAATATCCCCCCTCCCGCCCCTCTTTTTCCGCGCTGCACCTTCCCATGCCTCTGTCAGTACGCATTTCCACCCCCAGCCGCCCAACAAACCACGCACAAATGGCCCCCCAATTCTTCACCATCCCCTTCACCTCCTACACCCCCACCAGCGCCTGGACCTCCTTCCTCTCCCACCTCGCGCAGCCCCACCTCACCCGCAGCCCCCTCCGCCTCATCCCACAGCCCATCTCCTCGCGCGACGCCGCCGACAAGCACTTCTGGACCACCCTCTACACCGCCAAGGCCACGCCCACCGACATCTCCTCGCCCGCGCGCGCGCACCTGCGCGACTGGAAATGCACGCTCACGCTGCCCACCGCGCTGTCCCTGCTCGCCGACCACGGGACGCTCATGGTGTTTATCGGGCCGAACTGGAGCGGCGCGGAGCGGCGCGCGGCGCAGCGCACGGGCGGGTGCGGGCGGGTGGGGTGGCACTGCTTTGTGGCCTTCTGGAGGGATGGCGTCTGGGGCGTGTATGACCCGAGTTTTGCCGGCGCTGGGCGAGGGCTGGCGGGGATGGAGGGGCTGAGGCTGTTTCGGTATATGCTGGAGGAGATGCGCGAGGATGGGTTGGTGGTTGATGAGGTGTGGGTTGGGGGCGGGGGGAATAGCGATGGGGAGTGCTCGGAGATGAGTAGGAGGTGGGTGCAGGAGGAGGTGGTGAGTAAGATGGGGGTGGAGCTGGGGAGGTGGGAGGGGAGGGAGGGGTGGGTGAGGGTTTATGATATATAGATATTGGTTGGAGTTGTAGAAGTTGGTGAATCGATATATACATGTAGTTGGGTTGTGCAAATAGAGAGAAATGATAGAAATGCAGATTTATTGGCAACTAGTTAGCTTGCTTGGCGCTTATCCAGTAGTAGTGCGTTCTCTTGTGGTCTGGTGAATTTTGTGATTCGTCAATTTGGTTGTAAACAACGGGCAAAACGCACCTGGTAATGATACTCGGGTTCCAAGACACCAATGACCGTCAAGCGTATAACATGTGACAAAGTGATACCCGAAACACATGTCGAGGACAATACTATGGAGCCTTGAGTCAGATGTTACCTCCAGATGGGTAACATCGACACAGCAGAAACACGGTGTTAATTGTTGAGAACTTTAATGGTATTGTTATTGCAAGTTCCAACGTAAGCAAAACTAAGCTAGAATTCACCATATGGCTCTTTAAACAAGCCCGCATACTAAAGTCACCAAAGCAAAACATAGCACAAACCCACGAAACGTGAAGCAAATAAACAGTATATTCAACCCGCACCCAGGCCTCAAAGCAAAGGCCCATCCCCCGCCTTAATTACGCAATTACGCGCCCCTAAAGTACAAGCCCCCCTCCCCCCCAAACCCCCGCACACGCACACACACACACACACACATCTACAACTTCGCCTTCGTCTTCTGCGCGTTCTTCAACACCACCTGCCCGCCCACCACCGTCGTTAACATCCACACCCACCCCGTCAGCGCGCTCAAAGGGAACCCAATCCTTACCTCAGCCTTCGTCGCCTTCATCACATCGCCCTTCACCTTCAGCTTCCCGCCCATAAACAGCTTCTGCGCCGCCGCCTTCCCGTCCACGAGCTTCTGGAAGTCCTCGTCACTAAGACTCAGCACCACGTCCGGCTTGGCCCCCTCGGGCGCCAGCCCCCTCCCGACGGCGCCCGTCTTCTTGAGGTCGATGTACCACGACTCGGCCGCTCCACCGTTGGTCAGCGTGAAGGCGAAGATGGCGTTGCCCTTTTTGATTGCGTCCTTTTTGGCGGGCTCGGCGGTGAGGGACGCGGCGATGAGGTCGAAGGCGACGGAGGAGGGGAAGGCGTCTGTGTGGGGGTGGGGGAGGTGGTTAGTTTGCTGCAATGTGGTCTCTTGGAGGTGAGACACAGAGCTCGGGGGCAAACATACCTGATTTGAGCGACATGATGGAGCGTTATGATACGTAAAGGAGTAAAATAGGAATAGAGACGTTTAATGAAGCAGGAGCAGAATAGGAGAGAAGCTGAGTCGGTGACTTGTGGGGAGAGAACCTGGGGTGTGGAGGATGCGTCTGGTTGGGACAGGCTCGGGTTTATGTACGGTGCGGACCGAAACGGTTGGTTTGTGTTCCCCGACCGATGGAGTCACAAGGCAGGCATGTGAAAGCTCGGTAAGCGCTTTCCTCCCACCACCGTCTTCCATTGATAAGTGGGTTTGGAAGCCTCAAATGGCAAGGTGGCGTGGCCGAGTGGTCTAAGGCGCTACGTTTAGGCATTGTCAAAACCGTAGTTCGAAAGAGCGCGAGTTCGAATCTCGCCGCCATCATCTCTTTTTTTTTTTTCTTTTCTTTCTCCCGCTCGTTTTTGTTGGGCTTTTTCTTTTCTTCATGTGCGGACCGGCCGGGCATGCCGAACCCGTGCGACCCCACGCGAGCAGGGATCAAAACCGACATGTCAGTTTGAACGCTCGCGCAACAACAACAACAACCCATGTGATACTCCATCCGAGTGAGAACCCGTGCATTTGCCTTTCGTGTGCACAGTGATAATCCATAATCCACACACTTGACATCTATCACATTCCGCCAATACTACGAAAACACAAGCCGGTATATATATGTACACCACCTAGTATGTGCCGTTCCCGGGTCAGACCGATCCAGTCTATCTAGACTACTCCCGTCCTATGCACAGGGGAGGTTTGTTCTAAGCGGAGGCTCGTGCTTGCTTGGGAGGGGGGGAGGGGGGGAGGGGGGGTGGATGCGGGGTAGCTAGATTGATTGACACGGCGGGGAATCCAATGCGGGCCAACCAACCAACCAACGTACGTCACCGCACCACAGTTTCAATCTGCGGCCCGGCCTGCCCAAGCTGTCTACCTACACCCATGATAAGTTACCACACAACGCTTCTCTAACCCCCACCAGCCAGCCAGCAGCCCACCCGAGTGAGCACCCATGCCCCCCAAACAAAAAGAAAAACAGCCCCCCCCCTCCGCCAGAAAAGAGCAAAACCACCTCCAGCCCCCACCCAGCCCACGCATCACTCACATTCCGAGTGACAGCCCATGACGCAGAAAGCCACCGGATGCCGTGCGACACCACTGGTTAGCCCCCCCACTCTTGCGTGCTCGGGCGGTGAATGAGTCATGGCTGGACAAGTCCATGCAGATGGTTTGAGTGGCTTGAAGACTTCCATTACTTGCATTCATTGCTATCCGTATCCATCCACATCATTAAGCTACAGCATCACATAACTAACCCAACCCAACCCAACCCAACCCAGCCCAACCCAACCCAACCAACTATGTATACACCCCCCTCCCCTCCTCTCCACCCCCCTCCCCTCTACACCGTCGGCGTCGTAAACTGCCTCTGATCCGTCACCACCAGCCCCGCCACACTCGCACTCGTCAACGTGCTAATCGCGCCCGCCACCAGCGCGCTCAACGCCAGCCTGCTCACATCCCCCGCCCTCGCCGGCGCCACCTGACTCAGCACGCCAATCTGCGTGCCCAAGCTGCCGATATTCGCAAACCCGCACAGCGCATACGTCGCAATCAGGCGCGAGCGGTCGCTCAGGCCCGCAAACTCGGGCTCGCTCTGCAGCCTCGTGTACGCCACAAACTCGTTCGCAATGAGCTTGGTCCCGATGAGCTGCGCAACCTTGTGCAGGTCGCCGTCGCGCGACACGCCCAGCAGGAAGGCCACGGGGTAGCACACGTAGCCGACGACCAGCTCGACCGTCAGCGGCGGGTCGTTGATGTTCAGGTAGCGGCCCCACCACGTCAGCAGCCCGTTGCACAGCCCGAGCAGCGCCAGGATGCACAGCAGCGTGCTCAGGATCATGCCCGCGATCTTCAGCCCGAGCCACGCGCCGTTGGCGAACGCGTGCAGCGCGTTCGCCGGCTTCTCTTCGGAGGCGTCCTGCGGGACCACGACGCGGCCGGCGGTGAGCGATTCTTCGGTCTCGGGGTAGCGCAGCTTCGACACGGCGAGGGAGGCGGGGATGGACATGACGCAGGAGGAGATGAGCGCCTGCGGGTTGATGCCCATGCCGATGTAGGCGACGAGGACGGAGCCGGCGATGGTGGCGAAGCCGGAGGTCATGACTTGGTGGATCTCGGCGAGGGTGAGGTGGGCGACGAAGGGGCGGATGAGCATGGCCGACTCGCCCTGGCCGATGAAGGGGGAGGCGGCGGCGACGACGGCTTCGGCGCCCGAGACCTGCATGGACCAGAAGAAGAAGACGGCGAATTTGCCGATGAACCATTGCAGGATGCCCCAGTAGTACAGCTGGTCGTTGCGGGTTGGTTAGTAGGCACGATGTGGAGAAGGGAGGAAGGAAGGAGAGGGGGGGGGAGAGGCTCACCAGCTGCACAATCGCCACGAAAAAGATGATCGCCGGCAAAACACTGATAAAGAACATGCCCAACTGCGAGATCTCCGCACTCGTCAAGAAGGCCACCCCGTCCCGCGCAAAGCCCAGCAAGCTCTCCGCCAGCCCCGATATGAAATGGAAGATATCATAGCCCACGCCCGTTCGGAGCACAAACAGCGCGATGATGAACTGCATCAGCATGCCCATGAGGACGGTGTGCCACTTGACGTGCGCCCGGTGCTTGCTCGTCGCCCAGAGCACGCCCACAAACACCAGCAGGCCGAACAGCGACACGGCGCGGTTGTCGCGCGTGTTGTTGAGCGACTCGGGCGAGGCGAAGGCGCCGACGAGGTACACGGCGACGACGAGCGCCGCGGACAGCGGCGTGCGCAGACCCGACGGGATGAGCGTGACGAGGCGCACGGCGGTGTGCTTCCAGAGGGTCTGCACGGGCTTGAAGAGGAGGCTGACGGGGAGGTAGAGCGTGGTGATGCGCAGCGCGATGCACAGCCAGAAGAGGAAGGGGACGACCCAGTTCTTGTCGGCGCGGTGGAGCACCAGGGATGCGATCCACCATCTTTACGGTCGTGGCAGCATATTAGGGCTCTTGTTTCTTTTTACCTGGCCAAAAAGTGTAGGGGAGGGGGGGTTACCCAGTGAAGAGACAAAAGATAAACGCATGCACAAACACCCGGTACTTCCGATAGAACCCTCCGCTGCCACTGCCGGCACCGCCGCTGCCAGCGCCGGCGCTGCGGACGCTGGCGCCACTGCCGCTCCGGCTGCCTTTCTCGATGTCGCCGGATATGGGCGCGCTCTTCATGGCGTGCCCGCTCTCGATGTCGGCGGGCTCATTTGTGGCGGCGGCGGCGGTGGTGGTGGTGGCGGGGGGTGGGGGGTCCGAGATGTTGAGCGCTGGGTCGGGGTGCGACATTGCGGCAACAACAAACGAAGGAAGGAGGAAGGAGGGGGGGGGTGGTGTTGTTTGGGGGGGGGGGGGTATTGATTAATGTGGTGGGATGAACGACAGGAGAAGAGGAAGAAGGAGAAAAACTAGAACGAGGGCGAGGGCGAGAGGAGGGGGGGATATATCTACATGCAGTGGGTACAGACAGAATAATTGCCCGAAACCTGATACATATCGGTTTTTTTTTTTTTTCTTCTTCTTCTCTCGCTCTCTTTCTATTAATTGGGTCCCCACTAAGCTACCAGCTAGAAGAGATTGGCCAAAGTGCTTGCTTGCTTGGTAGCTTAGCGCGGCGCCGGCCGGATTAGTTACTTGATTAGCTCGAGTCGCGGCGCCTACTCTACGCTGCTCTGATACCAGGCAAGTAAGATGCCTCCTCCATAGATACCTACCAGCCTACCAGCTCGATAGGTAAACGGTTTCAAACAGACTGATTGGCAGCATGCGCTGGGTTGGCAATAAAGGCCCCCCCCCCCCTTCCCCCAAGCCAATCTGGCTACCCGTACCACTAGACTGTATTGATAGAGCATAATGGGGGGAAGTATAGATATCTAGCTGCACCACCTTCCTCTCTCGGGGAATTAACATGGCCAGTGATACCTACCAACTTGGTGGCCCTGCCAACTCTAATCCTCGCCACTGTGAGGGAAGTGGGGGGGGGGGGGGGGAGGTTATCAGGGTTGTAGATACATGTATGTATCTGATCATGATCATGATCAATTGCAAGGGCAGGGTTGGGTTGGGTAGGGTAGGGTAGGGTAGGGTAGTTAGAGTACTCTACCAGAGAGAGAGAGAGAGAGAGAGAGAGCCCCGCCTAGAACTCCGGTGTGCTTATCTCTGGTATTTAATATTAGTGTTAACTATCATATCTCTACGCGTACGTCGTGAATATTAGTATTTAGTACTGGTGGTGGTACGTAGTGGTAGATAGGTGGGCTTTTTAATATATATCAATCCGTTCCTCTCCTCTAGCTGGGTGGGGGGGGGGATAGTTATCAGCAGAATCGGCATCTGGCATGCATGTTACTCGTAATTACCAGATATCGATATCAGTGTCGCGTGCGCCGATCTCTAGCTTCTCAGCTAGCTACCTACTAGCTAGGCCACCATAATATACAGCGAGAGGTAGAATTATTGTAGAAACAGGGGTCTAAAAAACAGGGTTTCTATGGCTGGACAAGCCAATAGAACTCCTCCCATACTTCTACAATAATCTTACCGCAAGCTGTATCAACATCCCACTCTGCCCGCCGGCGTCCATCCATCCCCGATAAGCCCGTCCCAATTTCCACCAAACGTTTCAACCGTCAAGAAGGAAGGTCTTTCTCCGGATCCCCCAACTGTACTCTACCTACCTACCTCTCTACCTGTACGTCCCCTATTGTTAACCGCGGCATCACAAGTCCATCCAGCCATCCGATTCGGACTACATACATCAGCTCCAAGATGACGCGCCAAGACCGTCCGGAAGAGGAAGGTTGCCCGCTCTGGAAGGTGTGCAACCAAAACCCTGCCTGCCTGTAAGCAGGTGTCGTATCGTATCGTATCGTATCGTATCGTGATTCGTGATCGCGATATACCTCTGCTAGCCTGGAGGATTAGTAGCGCTTTGGAGGGTAGATACAGTGGTATCGGGTTCCGGATTGTGGAAGGGCGTGGTTATATGCGTGCGGGTAGGAGAGTAGGTAGTGGTCTGATTTTATTTATTGGGTTGCGGTCCGTTGGTATGGTAGAGTGGTTGGTATTTGGCACCCGTTTGTGAGTGGAGGAGTGATTGTAACGCTGTGGTTATCAGGAACTACAGCTTCGGACGAATCTGGGGGAACTAGTATCCCTTAGACGGATGAAATCGTCAAATTCGCAGCCTGGACCGTGCACGCACTGAGTTGGGTATATCCGTTGCTCTTAATGGTTGATAATAGACCTAGAGCGAATCAAAAAATAAGTGTTAGATACCTGCTTAGGCTAGTATTAGCTCAAAAAAGGCAAGCTGCGAATTTGACAGTTTCATCCGTCCAAGGGATAGCTATGTGGTTATCTATATAAGCATCATACCGCCTTAAATTTTCCCGGGGAACATCCACCAGCCTGGTACATTGTCCACACACCTCAGGGAATTCAAGGCACGTATGGAACCTACCTGCTCTACCTATGAGACTCTCAGGGTTTATGACAGGCCCAGTCCTCCGCGCAGCTCCGAGTGGGCGTACATAGAAAATCCCCGGAAACCTCGATGGCCCTTCTTCCCCACAAATTACCCCACAAAAAAAAAAAAAAAAAAAAAAACGTTGCGTACCGAGTGAATAGCATGTGGCCCGAGTTTTCGTTACGTACTCGCAGAGAGGTTCGATGCATGGAATACCTGCTCGACTGGGCCCGGCTAGGCTCCATCTAGGGTTGCGTCGAAGTGGAAGGTAGGGCGGGGTTGTGGGGTCGTGGTGCGAGATAGCTATCAGTACTTCGTTCTGTAGGAGAAGAAGGACAAGCAGCGTGTTGTGCCAAATGCTGCGCCGGGATATGAGGTTAAGGTATAAATAAAGAAAGGCTCCCATTTCTATGTGACATGCTTCACAAGAAACTTCTTTGCATGTCATGAAGCTTGAGCTCTTTCAGTTCCATGCGGGCAGTACCGACATCATCACCAACAACGGGGCCCGCCGCCCGGCTCTTTGTTCGTATGTGCACTCTACAATATTTAGGGGGGGTTATGTACTCTAGGGTAGGGTAAAGTGTAGCGGTCTAGGGTGATCTGCACATATGAAGTCCTTGAACCGTACATACTTGACCGTGGCCGCCGAACCAAACAGTCCACGTCCCCTCCCAAAAGTCAAACAACGTACCACGACCATGCCCACCACCGACATCGAATCCACCGTCGCCACCCAGCTCGAGGCCTATCATGCGTCCCGCGCCGCCCTCATAGCTCAAGAGAAGGCACTCCGTCACGGTCAGTAACGTTCCTGCTGCTGTCCTCGCCTCCGGCATCTGACTGACGTCATACATGGCAGACTATGCGTTCCGGCAACGCCTCTCGGAGACTGCCAAGAGGGCCTCAAACATCGTGGGCAATATCCGCCACTACGAGGCCGCAACAGTGTGGACGAAGGAGGTGGAGGACGACGAGGGCGATGTGTACCCCGGGATGATGTTCACGCTGGCAAAGGACCGTATGGAGAGCACGAGGCTATGGAAAATTGTCAAGAGAATGCCGAAGGGCTGTTTGCTCCATGCGCATTTGGAGGCCATGGTTGATAGTGAGCTTTCCCCTGGGTTCTCTTGTGGGGAAGTGTTCTTCAACTCACTGTAAACGAATAGTGGATTGGCTGTTGAACCTCGCTTTGGAGACGCCGGGTCTATATATTTTCTCGGACATACCGCTGGTTTCGCCAGAGGCGTTGAGGATTGCTACGATACAGTTTCAGTATTCGGCGAAACCCCCGGCTGTATCTGCCTCCTTATATTCATCGGCATATGTTCCGAATGGGTTCATTCCCATTACCGAGGCCGCGGATACTTTCCCAGCGAACCTGCTCATGGAATCCGGAAATATTGACGGCACAGCTGCAGGCACAACTGCGAGAGAGGCATTCCTGGAATGGCTTATTGACCGCACCACGATTACAGCCGAAGAGAGCTTGAAGCATCACGAAGGGATCAACATGGTCTGGCGAAAGTTTCAGGGCATATTCAGAATAATCTCGGGCATAGTCTATTACGAGCCAGTATATCGAGCATTTGTCCTCCTCCTCCTCCTCCTCCTCTCCCCTCTTCCATATCCCCACAACAAGCTCTAATAATATGTAATGAAAGTAGGTCCGCCATATTCTCCACCATTTGCATCTGGATAATGTTCTCTGGGTGGATATGCGGGCGGCCTATGCCATGGTCTTCCGCGCGGCAAAAACAGGAGAAATCCTCCCCCGCACTGACGTCATCCGCGCGTTTTCCGAGGAGGTGGAACGGTATAAGAAGTCTCCGGAAGGGGCAGGCTTCTGGGGCGCGCGTATGATATGGACCACTATCAGGAGCTTCGACAATGAAACTATTAGAGCCAGCATGAAAGAATGCGTTGAAGCCAAAAAGCTCTATCCCCATGCCATCGCCGGTAGATTCCCAGCCTTACTCTCTCGCATGCTCAATTTCGCTAATACCTTCAAGGCTTTGACTTGGTTGGCCAAGAAGATCTCGGCCGCCCGCACAAGGAGCTTATCCCTGAGATCCTCTGGTTCCGTGAATATTGCCGCCAGGAAGCGGTTGATATACCATTTTTCTTCCATGCCGGCGAAACGCTCGGCGACGGCAACGCAACCGATGAAAACCTCTTTGATGCTATTCTCCTAGGGACCAAACGTATTGGTCACGGGTTTTCCCTTTACAAGCATCCCCACCTGCTTAGACTCTGTCGTGAACGTAAAATCTGCCTTGAAGTGTGCCCTGTCTCGAATGAGATCCTGCGGCTCACATCCAGCATTTTGTCGCACTCACTCCCGGCGCTTCTGGCGCATGGGGTGCCTGTAACCTTGAACAATGATGATCCGGGAATTCTTGGGCAAAAGACGACGGCGAGTATGACGCATGATCATTGGCAGGTGTTGCAAGCGTTTGATAATGTTGGGCTGGAGGGCCTGGGGGATCTGGCGGAGACGACTGTGAAATATGCAGCATTCGAGGGCGTGGACGTGGGTGTGGAGGAGGGAGTGAGGGCGGAGAGAATGAAGATGTGGAGACAGGAATGGGAGAAGTTCTGTGAATGGGTTGTGGCAGACTTTGGAGAGTGGGAGGAAAGAGAGGGGGCTTAGTGGATGATAGTTATAGTGTACAGCTTACGGTGCGCATAGCCGAGGAGATATAACTATTGTATTGCAAGTAGGAGTAATCGTTTTCTAGCATTGTATTAGTATTATTATTCAGCTATAAGGACTATGGTGGGTGTTTTGCGCCTAAGAGCCCACTTGCGGGACTAAATAGTTTGATTTATTATTGGTGCCATTATCGAGAATAGCATTGCTGAATTAAAAAAGTAGACGCCCTCTATGCTCTGAAATATCAGACTAACCCCGAATTCGAGATTTCCTTTGATGTATTGCATATTGGTATTAATCATGAGTGCATGGTTCAGCTAGCTCAGCTGACTGTTCTGAACACGTCCTTGCCGTTTGGAAGGCGGTTCTTGATCTATATTCGATAGCATATTTTGTGTAGTCTTGTTATATGAGAAAGCTCTGCTTCGATAGGCGTTAAAATATGTGTGCATGTACGTCTGCCAATATACTGATGAAACTTAGTAGGGATTTTCTTTTTGGAGCGGGGGCCTTTACAGCAACTAAAATTGCTGTGATCTCTTATTACATCCGGTCCCCAAACCCAGCTTGTGAATCATGCGGTATCACTCGCTTCCATCATATCTGTATATTGGACGCGGCGAAAATCGGTGTATCAGAGCTTCTGAAGACAATACTTTTGCCACCATAGACAGCGATAGTTTTCCTCGTCTGAGGTAGCTCTTCCAAAGAATGATCTTCCCATAGGTGTACATACAGAGCACATTTTCACATGCTAAAAGGTAGATGTGATACCGTTAATTCTCGAATAATCTACTATCCCCGTATTTGTGAGTGGTAAGTCCGGACCAAGGCGAATTGGCGTATCAAAATTCACGGATTCGTGCAGATACACACTTTTTCTCACCCGGAATTAAGATTTAACGAAGCGGAGATAGTGGATTTCTGGAGAATTAACGGTATCCTTGAGTCAACTCGAGGATGAAAATATATTGAAGCTTGAAGATTTGCGTACACTGTATAATATTATCCGGTATGTCCTTAATCATAAGAGGAATTAGGTGGCGTATTTATTGGCAGGCCAACTTGCAGAATTTAATGCAGCGGAACGAAAACTGGCCTAACACCCGCCGCGCCTAGAACTTCTTCACATTCTAATATATGGGTCCTATCACAATGCGTAAGAGGAGCTACCAAGAAGTTAGACGCCACCATCTGGCTCAGTATATGTATACTACACCAGGCAAATGAAGAAAAACTATTCGTAAGTTTATACACCATATTGTTTCATGTATCCACTGCACTTTGAGCCGTCCAGGCAAGTAATCAGCGCTGTAGCCCAGATTTAGTCCAAGAGTGGTACTTGTAGTCTTAAATGTTCTTTGATAGAATTTTTTTTTTGCTTAATCCTAGGTTTTGATCTATGAATATTTTCCATTTTACATTGTAAAATACATTTTGGTCATTTATCATAATATCTCACTGATATTCGACTTCTTAGCGCCGGAAGAAGATTCGATCAAGCTGGCTTTATTTCAGAGAAATAGAATTAAACTATTCTCGATACTACACATGGCGATTTTAATCGGGGAAGTCGATTTTTTTGATTGGTTTCGGCACAGTGTTGCATTTCCGCGGCTCAAGTGAGGTGTCGATATCGGATTAGACAGGTTTAATATCGCTTTGTTCAATCTTAGAACTTGATTTGATCGATTTACTTTGTCAGGCTTCGTTCAAAGGCAAAGTCGGTTTCGACAGCTTGAACCTTGTACTTGAATTAATATCGCCGTTATAGCGTCTCGAAGCCCAATTAACTACGCTAGAATACAACCATAAAAGCGAACCTGCATTGGAACACCAACCAAGGCAGAAACCCTGGAATATAGTACCGATTCCTGTAGCAATGTGGTCCCTTGTTACGGGACGGACAAGTAAAGAAACCTGGTCCCACGCTCAGGCAGTCATACGCATCTAATCTCACTCACTCCATGAACTATCACGCAGGTCTCGGCTTGTTGCGGCTCATTCACCCCTAACCTCTAGCGCTGATTCGATAGACCCCACCACCAGCGCCAAGGCGTTTCAACAATCTAGCCAACCAAACGGGAATCACACGACGCACGCGATTCCCCTAAGTTCAACTGTACGCGACAAAGAAGGTGTCCGACGTCAACCTCCGGACAGAACTTCCTCCAAGTGTTAGACCAGATTTCTCGAACGCGATAAGACATCAGCCCCTCGCTTCGATGAGCGTTAGTTACGTAAATCCGGAGAGCGGGGGAATGATTGTGGAAAATGAGTGAGACGGAGGGAAAAGGATTTAAGGATGCTGTTCGCCCCGAGATTGGAAAAGAAAGTTCATCCATCAGTTATCTCGGAAATTTTTTTAGCATATCCTCGTGATACTATCTCTGTGATTACCTTTATCTCAACTTCTGCGAGACTTCTCTTAAAGCCACCATCACCGCCGCCTTTCCCTCTATTATTCAACAATGACCACTCCATCCACAATCGAGCCCAAGTTCTTACCCTCAAAGGACCAACTTGGTGTTGTAGGTGTTGGTTTCAGTGGAGGCCAGGTATGTACACTATGCGATTCTGGGCCGCACCCCCGCTAATATCACATAGACCAAACCAGGCGTCGATGCAGCCCCCGCAGCACTGATTGAAGCAGGTCTTCTAGATTCCCTTTCTAATGAGCTCGCATACACCATCCATCATGACGGAAAGGTTCACAACTACACTGAATACATCCCACCTTCAGATCCGCCGCTTCAAACAGCTGGCGCACGTGCACCAATGTTAAAGGCTCTCACTGTATCAAACGTCACCAAGGCCATTGCAGACCAAGTATATGAACATGCTTCACAAGGGCGCCTAGTCCTCACACTCGGTGGTGACCACTCTATTGCAATCGGTACCATCTCCGGCACAGCGAAGGCTATTCGAGAGCGTCATGGCCGTGAGATTGCTGTGATATGGATCGATGCACACGCTGATATCAATACACCGGAATCATCAGGATCCGGTAACATTCACGGTATGCCGGTATCCTACCTGACCGGTCTTTCAAAAGCACCCAAAGAGAACCCAGAGGTGTTTGGGTGGATGAAGGATGAGAACAGGATCAATGTGTCAAAGCTTGTGTATATCGGCTTGCGTGACGTCGATATTCCAGAGAAGAAAATCCTCAGGGAGAACGGAATAAAGGCGTTCAGCATGCACGATGTTGATAAGTATGGTATTGGTAGAGTGATGGAAATGGCGTTGGAGCACCTCAACTGTGGACCAGGACAGGAGGGCATGCCGATTCATTTGAGCTTTGACGTGGATGCGTTAGATCCGCAAGTGTAAGTCTTTCAACCTATTTAATAATGGGCACTCTTACTAATAGATTGGATAGTGCACCAAGTACAGGCACTCCTGTTCGTGGCGGGTTGACACTGAGGGAAGGAGATTTCATATGCGAATGCATTCATGAAACCGGGTGCCTAGTAGCCATGGATCTTGTGGGTTTCCCTATGCCTTTGGAGAGAAAGGTTGCTAATTATTTCGCTTCCGTAGGTCGAGGTCAACACCATAGTCGAGGGAGTGGAGCACGACAGTTTTGGGTCGAGGGAAACAATCATGGCGGGATGCAGCCTGGTTCGGTGTGCGCTGGGTGAGAGTTTGCTGTAGATCAAGCTAGTCTTGTTACTTGCTTTATGATTTTGGTTGTCTGTGCAGACTGTATTTTATCTCTGTACAATCAGTAGAAATATAGACCAGTTCTGGAGCTCTAGAATAGACACTAAAGACATTGATATATAACTAGAGTAGCCATTGGGAAATATCGGACCTCAACTTCCTGCAGTAACGGGCCTGGGAAATCTCTAGGTATTCCCGTTATTCACTCTGTAACACTCTAGAGACTGGTTACATGTTGACGTAGATCATTTCCTTTCTGTGTTAATGGCGGGCCGGGCCGGTTTGGCTAGATGCCATAGTATTTCTGCGAAGTTTTGTCTTATACCGGGAGGATGCGGGGCGGGATCGCATGCGAGGTAACCAATTCTTCCGTGAGATGCATTCTGTGGACATTATCCGCTGGAGTGTTCATAGTACAGTAATCTTTTGAAGAGTGTCCCCATAGCTATATAGAATATCGCCCACGGCACAAACCATTGAGTTTGGGATAGAAGCCCGCCGCCGCAACTTGTCGACAATCCATTCGACGACTCGAACAAGCCTCTGCTCCGCTAAAGTAACCCACGTCTTTCCCGCGCTCACGGTATCGGTACCGACGCGAGATTTCAACCACATGCTTGCTTGCATATGTCACCCTCCAGTACACAGCCCCCCTCCCCCTGCGGGAACTCGGCAGCCTGACATTCTCGATTCGTCCGGGGCAGGACCGGAAATGAAGCCTCGATCGTCATTCCAATACTTCAGATTCGCATGGCCGGGAGTGTTTTAGGAGGTTGGGTCGAAAGCGAAAGCTTAAGGGGTGTGCAGAACTACTTAAACACAATGCATGCAAGTAATTGAAGGCATAATTTTCTAGGTTTAGAGGTACATACGTTGTGATCCTGGACCGTCTACTTGAGACCCCTAATCCTGCGGGTACGGGTCTTCGGTATTGCCGTTCAGGAAGGATTATTGTCGACTCCTAATCCAAAAATACAGTGCACTCAGCATGCAGCAAGGGGGAACGGACTATCAGCTGTACCGAGCGTCGTGGTACGGATGTCAAGTGGTCACAAGCTCGAACTAGGCTTGTCTTATTTGGTGAGAAATGAAATCCTCGGGCCTAGGAGGGTTCCCCAGTATTCAAATCGGAGAGACTGGGCTGGACCATCAGTTATTGCGGTTACGTGCACATGATTTTCTTCAGAAAGAGGAACATACCCATATTTCCGAGCTGCCCGAAGTAGCCCATGTTGACGGTCAATTAATTGTTCATCAAGCTAAACAATAGAGGTAAATATAAAGTCTAGGTGGCCTCGGGCTCTGTTCAATCTGCAGTGGACAATAGTATCCGAACAACAGTAAAAAGACATACCGGAATCATTGAAAAGAAGAGTTTGAGGGATTTATATTTACTCAACGAGATAGGGTGATGTGAGGTATTATTTTGCTAACGAGCAAAACCTTATTTTAGCCAAGCCTGGGAAGATAATAGCGGGCACGTGTTAGCACAAGATTTTTAGTTTCTCTCCATACTGGACTCGATTGACATTAGTTTCTGGGCATGTGGAGCCCGCCGAGTGATAGGCCGTGAACACCATATTCACATTCCACATAATTACATTATCATTACATTAACGAAAGTTCTATCATAACTCTCTAGCTATACCTGCTGCTTTCTCTCCAACTCCTGACTCCCCCTGCTACTCCCAATACCCTCCTCCTCGTCCTCCTCTAGGCCAAGGCCCAGCCCCCTAAACTCAATTTCATCAATCTCACTTGTCTGTCTTCTCGCCGATCGGTTCGCCGAGAACCAATATGGACTCGCATGGGACACCGAGTCTGCAGATCCTGTAGTGTGCTTGGCGGCTTGCGCTTTGATGAGACGGTACATTACTGGCGCGTTTGCGACACAGCAGGCTACTAGCATCTCGATGGATGCGAACTATACAGAAAATGCTTTGTTAATGAGAGTTGGAGGTACGCGCGAAAGGAATAAGGAACAGACAAGTGTGCGCCAGCGCTGGATTGCGTGGTTTTCCATCACAAATGGAAGCCGGAATATGCTGACTAGGATGACGAAGAAACCAAGCGAGAAGAGGGTGTAGAGATGTATTTTTCTGTTTTGCATTAGATTTATAGACTAGGGATTGAGATGATAACATAATGGTGGGGAGGGAAATACCGTTTTCGTGGGAGACTGGTGTGGAAGACCATGGGAAGGGGATAGAGTATGAGGACTAAGTCTGTTGTGATATTGCAGGCTCCGGTTGTGTAGAGCTGGGCTTCGGCAAATGTGCATGCTCCTATGGATTGATTCGAGTTATTAGTTGAGAGTAAGTGTAGTAATTGGATAGGGTTGAATGAGAGATAACCTACTGCCTGGATTTGGAATAACTTGCCCTAGGTGGAGTTAGTAGTGCGGTGTTTCAGAAGAGCCAATAGTTAAATGTACTTACAATAGCTGTTGTTTCAAATATCAGAACAAGAAAATTAAAAGCCAGTTTAATAACCAAGAAAGTGCGGAGTGATGAACTTACTGATCAAATGGCCGGCACTCCAATAGAGTCGACACCATCACCGCCGCAAATGTCAGGAATAAAAATACCCATATATACTTGATATACTTCCTGTACTCCTCCAATAACTCAACGATCCTTGAGTACAGCGCCAGCATACACGCTTTCATCGACCAAATACTACTTCCGTCAGCAATTGCTTGAAATCCCAATCCCCAGCCTAGGACTCCATACATACAACGCAGCATAACAGGACCTAGCCACCAACGCCATTCTACTCCCCATCTCTCTCCTTTCCACTTCTTTTTTCCCCAACCCGTTCCTCGCCCACTCCTCCACATTATTCGTATCCCACACCAACACCAGATGGACCACAACTGTCCTGACAATTAATATCCCGAGCGCCCCTAGCATCCAGTAATCATCCTGCCTCCATTTCTTCTCTCTTGCCCAGGTCGCAGACAGTCGTATTGTGATGATCAGGAAACAGATTGCGTAGAAGAGATAGCCTACTACTAGCGTGGTGAGATCGGAGAGCATTTGGCGGTGGCATGATAATTGAGGATGTGGGGAATTGTCGCGGTTTTAAACTTGCGGATGAAGCGGGACGGACAGCAGGGGAAGGACCCTGGTATGGCGTGTGCATCCACCGATGTCATACCCGAGTGGTGCCGGAGCATGCAAGTAAGGATTAGACGGTAGACTCGTTTTGGTGGGTTGGAGGCGGTAAGGCCCTCGCACTAATCGATGTAAAGCGAGTAAAGGGAGTTTCTCCCTCTGTCTCCAAAAAGTACTTTTATTTACCCCGGAACGTCTGAAAATTCGTTGCGCTGCAGCAGGGGTATTCTCTACCAAAACTTGCATATTGACGTCCAAATGCTGCCTCTGGTTGGCTTATACCCCTGCTGAGGCGCAACGAATATTTTAAACAGGCTTTTTAGCGGGCGGCCATGCACATATACGGGCCGGACCAGTCCAAGTATACGGGCGATGGGCTGGGCTTGGAGTTTTCTCTGCTGGGCCGGGCCGGTCCAGAGGGCTTTTTGGACCGGTCAAGGAGAATAATATATGGGCCAGACGTTTATGACTAGATTTCTCCACCCATTATGAGAAAAAAAAGAGGTAAACCCTTAACACAGCAGTTTTATAATGCCCTTTGACCTCCTCCGACCTCAATAAATACCTCTGGGGGGCCCATATATTTATGTTTCTGTGACCGGTCCTCATGCTATATGGGCCAGTCGGTCCGGACCCACACTTTGGTGCGCTGGGCCGGTCCAGCCCATTAAAAAGCCTGAAATTTCTCAAATACTACCATAATCCTGCATGCCTACACATATATGGAGTGACACATTACTGATGACATGTATCCTCTGGGCATGGATCACAATGATTACCCTGGGCCCTTTATTTTTACTCCAGAGCGTTCGGGTCAAACTGTCTTAAGCTTAATTAGAAATACGAAGAAAAGAGAGCAGCTACGTATACGTCGTGCACAGGCATTCAATATATTTAATGACTTTATAAATCTAGCTAGATCTCCATACAGGAAGGCGATATCCAAGATCTTGGGTGCTGATTTGTAGCATCATGTGGTAAATTCACGCCAGAGACAGTGGGAAAATCTCTCATGCATTAGCAGGAAATGATTGACTGAGGTAAGGCAGCGAACTGCGAACTTTATAGCACTATTAAGTATTGCAAGGACCGACAAAGGCAGCAAGCTGCTTACCCGGACGTTTTCTCACAGATTTTACTAATGTCTCATACATCGGCCAGGGGATAGAGTAATCAAGGTAAGATAGAGTTCATGTCGTATCACTCGGCCTTGGCATCTTGGCAGAACAAATAATAATTCTATCCTCAAAGGAATTCCCGCGATAGAGCTATTTTCATGTTAGATGGAGTTCCGACATTATAGGGTAGTGATATGGGCCGTGGGCTAAACCAGTGACGTATCCGCCGGTAGATACGCATAACTCGACCGGCCTCTATGTTGACGCTTAGAATTTATGGTTGGTAGAGACTGAATGATCGTATGAAGCTGTACTGCCCATGCAATGTATATACTTCAGTTCATGAACAGATATCCCAGACCAAGTCCGTATCGTTCCGAGAATCTGGGCCGGTGCATGTAAACGAACCCAAGAAAAGATTATACGCCGAAAGAAATTAAATACAAACAATGTGGAGACATATGTTAGAACAGCTGGTGCTGGCGTGCTTCTCAGAGTTGTGGTGTACATATAGTTTAGGAATATATAGGTAGACATTGGTACTTGATATAGAAAGTCACGACAGATGCTACCAAGAAACGAGAACAAGAAACCAGTACAAGAAACCAGAACAAGAAACCAGAACAAGAAGCCAGAACAAGGAGCCAGAACAAGAAGCCAGAACAAGAAGCTAGAACAAGAATGATGACTATGAAATGCATACATGTAATTTCTCCGAAACGAGTGTCGTATGGTTTGCGGGGGCCCGGGTACGTACGCACCCATGCAGAGATTAACTTCCGGCGTGCATATGGGCAGGGAAAGCTTCGGTTGAGTAGGAGGCGGTTGGTGAGTATCGCTTCAAATTGTTACTCTGTGCTACTAGCCAAACGCTTCCGAGTTTCTTCAATCAAGTGGATCGTGTCCAGCGTGTCAGGGTGCTCTTCCCCGAGGGCTTTCTTCCTCCCGGCCAGCGCCCGCTCATACCACTCTCGGGCCTCATCATACCGGCCCTGGTTACAATAGACACCCGCAATGTTATAGATCGTTCTCAGCGTCTCAGGGTGCTCTTCCCCGAGGACCTTCTTTCTCCCGGCTAGCGCCCGCTCACACCACTCCAGGGCCTCATCATACCGCCCCTTGGTTGAATAGACAGACGCATTATTATGGATCGTTCCCAGCGTCTCAGGGTGCTCTTCCCCGAGGGCTTTCTTCTGCCCGGCCAGCGCCCGCTCATACCACTCCAGGGCCTCATCATACCGGCCCTGCTCATAATAGACATTTGCCATGTTACCAACTGTCCTCAGCGTGTCCTGGTGCTCTTCCCCGAGGGCTTTCTTCTGCCCGGCCAGCGCCCGCTCATACCACTCCAGGGCCTCATCATACCGCCCCTTGGTTGAATAGACATTTGCCATGTTACCAACTGTCCTCAGCGTGTCCTGGTGCTCTTCCCCGAGGGCTTTCTTCTGCCCGGCCAGCGCCCGCTCATACCACTCCAGTGCCTCCGTGTAATGACCTTGTTCCTTATATAAATTTGCAACGCGATTAATTTCCTTCAACGCTTCGATTCCAGTATCATTGCTCCATTGAGTGTCGTGGCACTGCTTCTTGCTAATATCAAGAATAAAACCGCCCATCATATTGACATCAACCTGTGGATTTGAGGTTTTACATATTTCTGCCCAGTCTCTAAGTTTGGATTGCATTACAAGAAGATGGCCGTCGGTGATATTGTAGTGGTCACACCGTTCAATCCACCGCCAGGCTTGCTTTGAATCGAAGAATCGTGCTATCTCGTCTAACAAATCATCATCGTTGGGCTTGCTATGCGTGACATGATATATCCAATTGCTACTTGAATATTCTAAGAATGGGTAGATGGTGAAATCAAAGGATGGGCTATAGCTGCTTTTCTCGAAGCAGGTAAACTGGTTGTATAGGAGGCAGGTTTTGGCTAGGTCTTTGTGGATTTGCATTCGATCGATATTTTGTGGGGGGCTCGCAGAGTTGTGTGGACTCAATGTATTGATGTCTCCGCTCAAGAAGTATTGTCTTAAAGATGTATGTACAAGTTGCACGCTAGTATCTCCGAGAATAACGATCAATGAACCGCAAGCCTTTAGGAGACGCTCCTCCGATTTCTCTTTGAACTCCGGGTTATAATCTTCATGAGACTTGAGGCCCGCCGCCACAGCTAGGGCCAGGATAAGTTCATCTAATAAGAATGGTCGGGGTGCTATGGTAATCCAATGTAGCACTGTTTGACATCGATCAAATGATTTCGCTCTGGAGGGGGCGGGAGACATCCGACGCTTGAGCATGAGCTCGTAAACGTCTGATAGTCTATCCGGCATTTTGTCTAGAAGGTTGTCAACGTCCCAGGGCTCAGCTTCGGAAAGTTCATCCAGCATCAATTTTGCCCAAAGAATCATCCCTCCGGCTCCTTGCGAAATTCTCGAGTGGACCTTTACCCGGCGGCTATCATCTTGAAGGGTTTTTGATTCGTCAATTCGTTTCGATATAAAAGCATCAATATCTCTCTTTACGTTATCCTCTTCAATCAAAAACCAAGACCAATGTTCTTTTATCGCGGTTTCTGTTATATGTGATTCGTTCAAACGTGAAGTTGCGAATATTTTCAGGACTGTAGGCTCTGATCTTGAGCGTTCTGTGAGTTGTGTAAGGAATCTCGCCATCTGCTCGTCTTTGTTGTTGCACTCGTCAAGCGCATCGATAACACAATAGACAGGCGGAAGGATATTAAGGATTTCCTTTAATAAAGCCCAGAGTTCAACGATAGAATCTGCAGATGGTGTGCCACTTCTCTCGAAGACTTTATGAACGATAGGAATAAGTTGAGGTTTGTGCACTGGGTGGTTAAGAAGTTGAAAAACAAAGGTTCGCAATACTGATAATGGATTATCTCTGTCGGCATCGTTTTCCTTGCAAAAAAAGTAGATTATTGATTCTTCTGGGAGGGCTTGACCCTTTAAACGATCGATGACGACTGAGGATAACATGGATTTACCGGAGCCTGGAATTCCTTGTATACAGATTCGGCTAGAATATTTTGACTCAAACCACGTACAGAACTCCGGAGTTTCGAAGAACCAGTCGCACGTCTTTTGGAGGTGCTTTTCCTGGTTTTTCTCTTGCTGAAGTTGCGGATTGGTACAGAAGAGCCATTTGGTAACGGCTGAGAATTGTTCCACTGATTGAGGAAGGTCAGCTGGGTTTATCTTTGATATAGAGCACGCCGCAAGATCTTGATGCAATTGATGTTGTTCACTTATCTAGGAAAAAGAAAGCTCAACGTACTGTTGTGGTAATTCCTGGCTTCAATAATTCCACCCAAGTTTGCCATCGGATCGATTGCCTCAACATGGCGCTTCATACTGGACAGTATCTCTTCAAAATCCGAGTCGAAAGTCTTCACTGCTCTTCTAAGCAACATTTCTTAAAGTTTTAGTACAAAGCAATCCTCCTATGAGCTTTAAAAGACTTACTTATGAAACCGGCACGGAATTGTTTTGTCACCACAAGCGTTAGATCAATTACATCAACATAGAAGTGTGTCAATGCATCGTGCACCAGATCTAGCGCCTCGCGGGTGGAGGATTGAAAATGTTTCTCATAGGCGGCGAACCGGGACAGTTGCTCCAGTGTATCTTGGAGAAATCCCGATATTTTCTCGAACTCTCCTGAAGCGGACATCAAGACCTAACGTAGCATTAACGTTCATTCTTTTCATCAAAAAAACGCCAAATTACCTGAAGAATAATCTTTATCGGCGCCCAAATAGGGCCTCCAAGGCCCGAGCTTGCATTGACAACCGCTTCAATAGTAGTTTGAAACTGTGCGAATGGCTTTAAAACGGTTTGGTTGAAGTTGATCATTCTCTTTATCCCGCGTTGCGAGTCTTCGAGTTTCTTCAACAATCGGAGAACTTCAGAAGGATTGACAGTTGCTCTAAAAAGAGCTTTCTCTTCCGGACTCAAGTAATCGAATATCTTTTGTTGTGCGGGTGGAAGTTGTGAAAGCCGTTCGAGAGCCTTGTTCCATGCCGTTTGGTAACTAACACTGTTTATTAATGTGTGATAAAGAGCTCGATTGGAGTTATGCCAACATACCTAACGCCCGAAGAATTTGTGTTAGACATATTTATGGTTTTGTGTGTTTCCATGGTTGTGTACGTCTGAGAGGGAAGGCTTCGTGGGCCCTACCAACCGAAGATCAAAAGAGGGGTATCATGTGGCTGATATCTACCAGCTGTAGAAGCCTGGTTTGGTTTGATTCATCTGAGGCTTCGATTTGTAGAGGCTGATATACGTATTGACGTATCATGCATCGCGCGTAGCACAGCCAATGGGGTGCACACATGTACATAGTTGCCTGCATGCAAGGATATACATATTTCTCGGAATCACCAGTGCACCACGAATTCCACAATAATATTAGGAGAAAGTGAAGAGCCCGGTTGGAATATTGAAGGGAGTGTTTTGGGCGGGAAGATAGCAAAGGTGAAATACCTTACTTCAGGATTTATGGCCATAATACAATTGCAACCTTAGGTGTGCAGGTTGTTATGTACATGTGCAAGGTGTGGTCTGATGCCAAAATGAAGGTAAATACCAAAGCTCTGAGACGTCTTGAGATGGGTCCGTGTCAATGACAGTGGTAATACCTCAATATGTTAATGTGCGCGCCTGGTACGTTGTATGGGGTCAGGGTCAGGGATATTGCCTTAGGTATGACCAAGTATTCGAATGTTTAATGTCGGAGAAATAGTGTTGGGCGCATTTTTGACAACTTAGATCGAAATATATTCAACCTACCTAAAAGAATGATGCTAGAACGAACAATGGTTCGTGGGGTCGATGAACTAGTTATAATCCTCACTTCCATTCGCCCAGTGCTTTCGGCCGTCAGAACGCCTCGCCTCAATTTGCTTCAATAGATATAATTGCAGCCCCGGAATCGCATAGCAATGGCTTAGGTGCTCGATGAACGTAAGCCTTTCAAGTTTCAAAAGAAGACAGAAGTCATCAAGTATACCTATGTGTTGGACTAGAATTGTTCCTTTGGAGTATTTTCTGTAAAATGAAGAGTTGTAACACAGATATGTTACTGAAGTAGGAAACTACTTCAAACGATTATAAGCGGGTTATATTCTGATGAATCTTGATATCTGTGGAAATGTTAATTGGTGTTATTAATGTCTATTTGGCGAGTTATTTATATACAAGCTTCAAAAGAATAGATATATGATATTATATCCACGGTTCATCGCCGGCCGGAAGAGTTTGGTCGTTACCTCCACGATAGATCATATGAAAGATGGACTCAAACTACGTCCACAGAGGTCTGTATAAAAAAGAGTGTCCGTCAGTACGACCATTACATATGAGCTTTGTTCATGGATATACCATAAATAAGTAGATAACGATAATGGGGGGAATTTACTTTTCGTATATTTATATTGATAGTAAAGGTTTAGTCATCGGATACATGATATATCCTGACTTGGAAGCTATTTACCCTGAACGCGAGCGGAGAGAGCGTTATCTTGTTCTTCAACCAAACCGTTAGGATATCTGCGAGTGGTCAGCCGTTCACTAGAGGCACCTGCCAGTTAGCATCCCGAAGGCTTATTATAATCGATTGCAGTGAAAGGCTACTCACTATATAAATTTCATGGGTCATCTAGTTGGAATAGGAACCCAAATACAGGGAACCATCAGCGTCTGTGTCCTTCTATCCAATTGAAAACGTGCATATCAGAGTGTTCACCGCCGGATCCTGGTCCAGTGAGTCATTTGGCGCACAAACATGCGTAAAGTACCTAGAAAAGCCAATTGCAGACTGCGCGAGTGTAATGAGTTGTGGTGGTATCCGATATTCGTTGAATTCTAGGTCTGAGGCTAGCGTGTTCGTTTCATGTGTCGCGTTCAGCCTCGGAGCAAACATCTTCCGTAGAGACCATCTTGACACAAAATTTTCGTAATTGTTAACATGTTGACACAGCACTGCCAATCGTGCTGAGACACCATGTCATCATTACTAGAGACATCTTCATGAGCACGTCGGCCACCAAAAGTCTCAAGTCCCTCTCCGAGATCTGGCCAGCTAGCTGGCTGGGGCATCGGCAAGGGCACGATCTAGACCTCCGTTTCCCTGCGCGCGCTTGGCTCAGGTTTACGGTTCGCATCTGCATGGGCCATCACTCGGTTATCGCGGGCCATGCCGCTCCCCAAACGGCATAGCGGTGGGCGGGGAATTCTCCTACCGAATATGCTAGTTGCCGATCAACCGGTGTGTTATGCAGGGGCATGAGGTAATTCTCTCTTTCCGCACTTGGTGGACCAACGTCTCGCCCGAGAGCATCCCGATTTCCATATGAAGCCACTGGTATCTGGGAATCGATAACCAACAATTTAATTGATCAAGGGTAGGGGTCGACTCGGCCGGTCGGTTTCTACTCGCACGGGGCATCAATGGCGCGCGATAAATACATCGTGCTCTGTGTGGTCTCTGGGTCTCTTCTCAGCATCATCACAAATATCAGTATTTCAGCCTATCAACCTCTAACTCGACACAACTTGCAATCAATATGGTTACTTCAGAATCGGAACACCGCCCATTGAACGTTCTCATATCCGGAGCGGGCATTGGTGGTCTTGCAGCGGCAGCAGCGTTGAGGCAAGCTGGGCATCTCGTACAGGTAAGATTTCTCCTCTGAGATATAGAGGAACGTCCTTAGATCAATCCGTGTTAAACCTAACCACCACAATGGCAGGTATTCGAGCGTTCAAGCTTCAAGAACGAGTACGGGGCTGCCGTCAGCATCTCTCCCAACGCCAATGGCATTCTGCGTGAGCTAGGATTGGCCCTTGAAGATGTCGGCGGCGTGTACGCCGCAAAGGTTCAGTCCTCCACCTGAACCCCACGTTCACCACCTGAACACAATTAATGCTGACGACCGATACATCAAGATCAATGAATACGGTGCCGACGGAGCACTTTACCGCACCACCGATGCAGCAGGATTAGCACAGAGATACAAATATGTTCGTAATACCCACCCACCCCCCTCCCATACTTCTTACCACCCCTACTCACGCCCTCGCCAGCCCTGGCAATACGTCCACCGCGTCGATCTCCACAGCGGTCTGAAAGACATCGCCACCTCCCCCACCGGCACCGGCACCCCCGTCACCATCCACCTCGGCCACCGCGTCTCCTCCGTCGATAACGACACCGCCACCCTCACACTCGAGAACGGCGACCGTATCCACGGCGACCTCGTCATCGCCGCCGACGGAGTCAACGTACCCCACCCCCACCCCCACCCCCACCCCATCTTCTCCAGCTAACCCCCCCCCCCCCCCCCCGCAGTCTGCCCTCCGCGACAACGTAGACCACAGCGGCATCCACCCCTCCCCCTTCGGCCTCTCCAGCTACCGCTTCCTCATCCCCGCCGACATCCTCTACGCCGACCCCCAAACCCGCCGCTTCATCGAGACCGGCGAGTTCGAGCTCTGGAGCGGCGGCAACAACAAGCTAGTCCTGTACCCGTGCCGCGACGGCAACGTGCTCAACTGCGCCTTCCTCATCACCGACGACAACCCACAGGAAAACAAGAAAGGCACTTCCCCCCCACCCCCCCACCCCCCCACCCCCCCCACCCCCCCCTCCCTCCGCGCATCCAACTAACACAGCGGCAGAAATGACCCCCGAAGCCATGAAGCAGATAGTGCTCGACATCGTCAAAGACTGGCACCCGGACATCACCGCCCTAATCAACAAAGTCGACCCCTCGGCCATGGGCTACTGGCCCCTCTACGACATGCCCACCCTACACACGTGGATCAGCGGCCGCACCGCCCTTCTCGGCGACGCCGCCCACCCCTTCCTGCCCTGTAAGCTTCCCCCTCCACCCCCGTCCCTCATCCACCAACTAACAACCCCTAGTCCAAGGCCAAGGCGCCGCCCAAGCAATCGAAGACGCCATCGCGCTCGCCGCCCTCTTGCCCCTCCCGCAGACCTCCCCCACCGACGTCCCAGAGCGCCTACGGCTATACCAGCAGGCGCGCTTCGAGCGCGTGGGGCTGATCCAGCAGCACTCGCGCGAAGTCGGCAGGGAGGACCAGGAGGTGACGAGGACGAATAACGGCAGTAAGTACTCTTTACTTTACCCCCTAGGTATGCAAGGTGCGGATGCTGACGAGAGGTAGCGGCGTTCCTGTACATGGACTACAATTTTGGGCATGATGCGCGGGCGCATGCGGCGGGGCTGCTGGCGGCGAATGCGGGTGCGCAGATGCAGAGTGTTTGTTAGGCTAGGGGTGAGGTATATATAAAGTTATGAATTGTTTTGGAGTTGGTTAGCTGTTAGTTAGTTCGCACTTTGTCAGGACAGGTCAGGACAGGCGTTTTGTAGTATATCCCCGCTCATTATTAAATACATTGAAGCGTGCCAATAATTCACCCCTCAAATACTCTCGCACCCTCATCAAGAAAAAAAAAAAAACCCATACCCCACCCCACCCCAAAAAAGCTAATGAAAGGAGGGGGGGAATTCGAACCCCCGCGGGCTATGCCCATGAGAAACCTCGCTTTGAAGAAGCAAGAAAGTAGTAGAAACACTTGAGTCACACACCTTCACCACTCGGTCATCCTTCCGTTCTATCCTGGCGCACTAAAAACCCACTTTCAATCAAGGCCTAGTGTTGGGCTGGGCGGAGGGGTGGGCCAACTGTAAATGATCGCTACTAATATTGCGGTGTCTAATACACACACGGGCAAACCCTACCCCGACGGTGGCCGAACCGTGCTGGAAGTATACTCTATATTCGTAGAGTAAGGATGGAATTTAGAGAGAGGTATGTACATATTTGTTAGCAAAGCACAGGTTCTGTTCGTTCCCTCTGAACGCTGGAGGTTTGGTAGGGTTTGAGGGTGGAATTATTATGATAGGTTTCCCTGTAACTACATATCTATAGCAGCCATCTGTAAATCTGTATTAGGATCTTTACTTCTATTTTCTCCCCCTTTGACGAGAATTGGTGAAGGGTTAGGGTTGGATTGGAGTTGATTGTGTGTGGCTTTGGGACTGGTGAGAAATCATGATCCTTAGTAGAGTGGGTTGATAAACAATCGGAACATGGTAGGATGCAGAAGCAGGTACAGAATCCCGCGTCAAAATGAGGGCTGCATGTCAATTCACCTGATCGATGGGGGGTTTCCCAAGTATGTACAATATCACCCTTCTTACCTTGGACAGCTCACGGGCCGGGCCTGGTCGGGCAAGAATGAGCGCTGCATGTAGGTACGTGGATCCAAGCTAAGCTCTATCGACAACTACATGTATGTATATTACAAAATTAGCCTCCTTTAGGGAGCCGGGGGTGTTTAGTCTGTGTGGTTAGGTGCGATCACCTCTCCTCCGTTTCTTGCCCCTCTCCCCGTCCTCCCCCTCCTCAAAACTCCCCTCCTCCCTCCTCAAGCTCTCCAATATCCCACCCACCACCTCCCTCCCCCCAAACCCAATACCCACGCCCCCCTCCGCCGCGCCCCTCACCCCCTCCATCGCAATGCGCTCCTCCAGCTCCGCAAAACTCACAAAGCCCCCCGTGTACCGCTGCATCATGCGCACGCGCATGGCACGCGCCTTCATGTCCGGCTCCATGCCCTCGTCGCGCACGGTGCTGAGGTCCTCGCCGGGGCCGACGTTGCGCCCCCAGGTCGTCGGCGCGTAGAAGTGCGGGCTGTTGTTCTGGATGTACTGCTCGTGGTTGAAGAGCGTTGCGGAGGGGGTCACGGTGATGGTGTTGCCGGTGCCGGTGGGGACGGGGAGGGGCGAGGAGCCGAGGAGCCGCTCCACGGAGACGGGGGAGCGGAAGATGATGTGGGCGCGGGGTTTGAACTCTTTGGTGGTTTCTTCGAACTGTGTGTGTGCGGGGGGGCGCAGGGGTTAGGTGCTGGGTTTTTTCTTGCGGGGTGCGGTGGAGGTGGAGGTGGCGGGAACGGGGGCGGGGGCGGGGACACGTACCCGGAGCGCCTTGAACATCTGGATCTCGCCGAAGCGGGAGACCTCGCGGAAGATGGCGCGCGACTCGCTGATGTTTTTGGGCGGCGGGGAGAGGTAGAGCTGCAGCTGGGCGAGTGCCGGTGCTGTTGCTGCTGCTTTGGGGGTTCGTGCTGCTGCTGCTGCTGCCATTGTTGCCGTTGGTTTGGTCTTTGGTCTAGATCGATGGCTGGACGGGACGGACGGAGGTGAGGTGAGGTGAGGTGAGGTGAGGTTGTGTGAAATTCAAGATGTGGGGTTAGGGTTGAGTGCGTCTTGGCGGTGGTGGTGGGGGAGCTTGGTGTCATGGGAGATCACTCGGATGGGGTGCCATCATCTGCCGGCATGATCCAAGAGGTACATGTAATTTACCTCAGCAGGGCTGTAAAGTCCTTGTATCAAGTAACCGACTGTTGCTAACTTTGTGGGATACGCGATTCATTGTTGTATCCGGTGAAAAATGTAGTGTTCGTATTATCGGGGTCCTGCTCGTGAGCGAGGTCTCGCTACCGCACCTGGGGTCCGGAGGATCAAATGCTCTGAATGTGATGAACGGACCAAGTCGGCACCGCAGCTTACCTTTATACGCTCGCCAAACCACCACATATGCTCCACCGACTACAACCACGTAGCCTCTCAACACCTACATGTACTCCGCCAACCCGCCCCTCAACACGCGCAGACCACCCCATGTGCGCACGACGAGTGAGTCACCAACCGTCACTCGAGCGCCAAGCAGGATTCGACCGCGAATGTAATGTAGGGTGTTTCGTATTCAAGATTACATGTGTGGTTACATGCTGTAACTTCATGCCGGTCACCGCTGTTGGAGTGCTCCAGTTGAAAGCCGTGTGTGGTTGGTGAAGCTGTGTGTGCTGCGTTACGTATGTATGCCTACATGTACTCTATACTCTCGAGTACATACAGTGATAACCAAAGAGTACAACTCGTCTCATCTAGAGTACATCGCCCCAAAAACCAACGACAGCAACTTTCAAATTCCCCGGGCGCCAAGGCCAACCCACATCCACCCAGCCAGCCAGCACCATCTCTTTGTTAACATTCCGGCCACGCAGCGCGATCCGATCCCGTGACACACAAGCAACCACAACCGAACCTCTACTGGCTCGCCCAAGCCACGCTTCTTTGTCTTTGTTTGGCTCTGCAACACAACGCCTGTCAGGAGTGTTCTTGAAACAGGCCAACGGGATGGTGATAATTATTCGGCCTTACGGAGCGTTGCCTGCATAGTATGGTCAGGCTTTTCGATCAGGAATCGGCCCCTACGATGGCCCTCCAGAGGATGCTACCGTACCGGTGGTATCAAAATGCACGACCACCGGGCTCGTCCCGTCACGACAACACTCAGTCAGCTCGGAAGCTTTCAAGACTAGGGCTAGGGTGATGTGGATATAGAAGTGAGTACACACCCGCTCCCACTTCTTACGCTGTGGGCGAGGTTTAATTAGTAGTGGTTTATTTACACGGATAGAAATAGTCTTTGCCCTACGGGTCGAGTCTTGAAAACACTCACGTGAGCGGCAAGAATAAAGACTACGTGTATCAGCCTGTGTCTCGGAGCGGGATGAAGGTACCAGGTACCGGCCGTTCAGGATTTCATCCGATGCTCAGATGCTAGCGTTGCACGGAGGTTCCATCTCTATTATTGCCACGAGAGCCGATTCTATCGTTTTCAAGAGACTCTTCACTGTTAGCAGTTTGCTAGTCGGCTAGCTAGCCAGGTCTGGCTGACTGGGTGATTGAATGTTGAGCGCCAGCAACCATTCCTTTGTGCGTTTCATTGAGTATTCTATTTCAGATGCGGGATCCACGCAATATATATAAGAACAGAACGGCTCCGCGGCATCTACTAACTAAACCAATAACCTTTCTCGATACTCCCATAATACACATTTCTCATCAACATCCACATCTATCTCGAACCCCCCCCACACCGCCCCCCCAACAGCATCAACAATAATGCATACTCCCCACTACCTGCTAATTGCTGCTCTCCTCGCTGCCCCCACCCTCGCCCATATCGCCATGATCAAGCCCTTCCCCATAAAACACAAACTCAACCCCAACACCGCCGCCGGCGGCGCCGAATACAGCTACAGCTCCCCCCTACTAGCAGACGGCAGCAACTACCCCTGCAAGAACTTCCACAAGCTTCTCTCCACCCCCGAAGGCACCCCCGTCGAGACCTGGCCCGCCGGCACCGTCCAAAGCATGGGCATCGGCGACACCACCGGCGCCAACCACAACGGCGGCTCCTGCCAAGTCGCGCTCTCCGACGACTCCGGCGCAACCTTCAAGGTAATCAAGAGCTTCATCGGCGCCTGCCCCATGAGCACGGGCCAGACGCTCGAAGTCGAGATCCCCAAGCAGGCAAAAGACGGGAAAACCATCTTCGCCTGGACATGGTTCAACAAGACGGGCCAGCGCGAGATGTACATGAACTGCGCCGTGGTGACCATCACGGGCGGCGGCAGCGGCCTCACAAGCACAGAGTGGCCACCCCTCTTCACGGCAAACATCGGTGGGACATGTAAAACCACAGAGGGCATCGACACCGTCTTCCCCAACCCCGGCAAGAACGTCGTCACAGCCCAAGCAAACGTCAAACTTGGCCCTCCCGTCGGCGAATGCGGCGCCGCAGGCGCCGGGTCTCCAGCACCCGCCGAGAGCCCAGCGGCTAGCGCAGCAGCCCCCTCACCGACCTTGTCACCCGCTGCGGCGGCCCCGCTTCCAGGCGGTGAGGCGGCGGCGTGCTCATGCGTGTGTGGCGGGCCTAGCGGATATACGGTTAATATTGTACCCGCGGCGGCTGGCGTCTCGGAGGGCGCGATGGCGGCGCGTACAGTGCCGCCGGAGAATCTGGACACGAGCGGTCGGGAGGGCTTCTTGGATGAGCGGGAGGAGGCAGGGACGGGGCCGACGTGTGGTGCGAAGCGCCGTGATCATATGCGCCGTCATGCGAAGAGTAGGAGGTCGGTTACTGCTGAAAGGGAGTAGGGGGGAGTGCTTCTTCTGTTTTTCGTTGTTTTTGTTTTGTTTTTGTTTTTGTTTTCGTTGTTTTTTATATGGCTGGCTAGCTAGCTAACTAGCTGGGCCAGTGCGATTATTTACCGTCTGTGCCGGCGCGGCGTGGTGTGATGTTTCTGGACTTTTAACTTTAGCTCAATTCTAGTACCCCTCTTCTCTTCTCTTCGATTTATTTTTCACTTACTTCAGCTCTTGATTTTGATTTTTTGGGGATGCACGGGAGGTCTGTAAATTTCCATTGTATATTTCCCATACTCTCATAGTACTACTCTGTACGTACATACGTAGCTAGCCGGTGTTTGTGTTGAATAAAGTAAGGGCCTTGAGTCTTTCTTTTTTAGGAAAATGTTTGTGTGGAACATATATGGGGGGTTGTGGTCTATGCGTTGTAGGGTAAGCAGGTTGCGCGCGAGTGATAGTCTGTGCAGTGATGTTCCGAGTGATATTCTATGAAGCAATGTTACCTACACCGCGTGGTTGCGTTAAAAAGGCCAAGACACTACCACTAGCGATAAGTACTCATCGTGGCCATGGTCGTAACACGTGGCGCGGCTGTTTCATCAATAAGTAATCCCCGATATATACCACTATAGCTAAGGATGGGTACGTCCGAATACTATACGGCTGGTCGTCCATCCCATTTGCTACCCGCAACGGCGATATGTCCAGCAGGCTATGTGTGGCGTGTACCAGCCACTCTGGCGAGAAGGTGTAAGGGGGCTTCCTATTTCTCGTGGTAGATCTAGATAGGGTTGCGTGTGATGTGGAGTTCTGGAGGTTCGCGGATCTAAGCTATTATGAGCTACTCATATAGCTACTATTTTGAGAGATGATCTTTGTGAAGCAAAATAAAGAACCGAGAACGTAGAAAATGCATTGTATGAACTGATGAGTAGAAACAAAGGAGACAGAGCGAAAGCTCTCTCTTTATAGTTACAGTTTAGAGGCCAAACTACTTCTAATACAAAAGTACAGATAGTTTGGAACAACGTCTAAACTACATAATGAAACAACATCCACCACCGCATTGACTGATCACAATCAAAACACTACATAGGTCACTCAGAGGCTGTGACGTGGCGGTGAGGTTTACACAGCCACAGCGAGTGATTTATTGTGACCAGGTTGGATGCAGGTTCTCGGTTGAATGATTGATTTGGGTTGTTAGTTGGTTAGGTGGTTATCTCAAGGGTGATTAATATATATGATACGCGGACGAGATCACGAAAATATAGAAAGCTCAAGGTATCGTGTGAAAAGGTTTCTAATTCATAGCGTATAGTCCGTTACCAACCCCTAACGGTCACACTTACACCGAATAGCCCCCCACTCTAGCGCGGTCCAGCGCGCCAGCGATTAGAGCAAAAGTAGCACTGTTATTTCCATCTCCTCTTTTTCATCTTACACGCCATGCATCCTCCTCCTCGTCCACTCTATAAATCATTCCGTTGACCTCACTCCATCTTGTGTAGCGTCCCCTTTGGAAGATCGACACTTTACACAGCCGTATCTCTTCCATGAACGCAGCTGATGCCTGCTCTATCCCATCCTCTGGATGTCTCTCTGTAAAGACCTCGAGAATTCTGACCTCTTTCCACCTCCATATGACTGCTACGAGTGCTATCGTCACAAGAAAGCTTATCCCGGTGTAAATTCCCAGGCCGTTTTTTATTCCAACCCCCTCATCGATAAATCTACTCCATCCAACCGCCCCGGCTATGGCGATGAGCGATACAAACTGCAAGATGCCAAACGCAGATGTGATTGCTGGATGGCATGTGGTAAAATCGTCGTTGGGGCCCACAAGGCTTGTTGGTCTTTGGGTGCCATGGGGACGTCCTCCTTTGCTGCCACCGCGGGAAGTCGAGCCGGAGACACTGGAGAGAAGTGGCTCGGGGAGGTTTGAAATGTCAAAGTTGTCCATGATTATCAAGTGGCATTCTGCGATGACAAGGGTTCCGGAGAATATGACCAGACTAGCAAAGAAAACAGGAATAAAGAAATGTGTCGGGGGACCCGTGGCCGATATCGTAAAGGCCAAGCTCGAAACAGGTAGAAGGAGGATACCAATCAAGAAGACGGTACGATAAGGGTGTTGACCCTCATGGTAGTGATGCTGACTTGAGTTTGCACGGTGGTGAACACGGTGTCGAAAGTTTCGCATATAGAAGCTAGAAAGTTGGACAGGAGCGGAGAGAAGAGCACCAGCAGACAATGCGAGTACGGCAAGCCCAGTGTCAACCAAGGTGAACTTATAATGTGTCGAGATCAACGTTCCTAATAGCTAGAGTAAGAAGATATTCGTTAGTATAGAGTATACAACAAGTCCAATTAAGAAACAACTAACGTTGAAAACCATCGCGATCTCTCCAGCAATCCATCCAATATATATAGTCATCACGAAAAAGCCCAACTGACCAAGCATTCTGAAGCTCAACACAACGCCCGCCCAAACCTCTTCCCACCACCAGTAAGGTGAACTTCCAAAGACTACCATTTTGATTTCTCCACGGTCCACGCGTTGGAGTTCATCCTTGCCTCTCCAACCGGTTCGCCTTTGAGAAATCACCCTCTGCTTCTTCCATGGCGGTCTAACCTCGGGTACCAACCAAACAAGGAATACTACCACTGTAGCTATAGCAGCGACAATCCAGGGTCCCCAGGCCGGTTCAGATCTTGAAATAATTAATTGACCCGCAAAATGTCCGACTCCCCCAAAAGCAAAGAATAGCCAGGCCCAAACCCCTAGCCAAACCCCTGTTCGAGCGCCAGCCTCTCCACCCGGTACCAGACAAAATTGATCCTGTCCCTCAACGGGTATATGGCTATTGAACACTACACCTCCTCTGCAACAGGCACCAGTGTCCGGCCCAAATAAATCAATAATAGTTGCAAGTGCGTTCATGCTCGCAAAGCCCAGAATAAACCCGGATATCATTCGGGAAACCAAAGTCAAGACAGTGAATGGCACCATGGAACGTTCCGGATGTTGAATGGTATGAGGGGGTAAAGAGAGTGCCTGTGGTATCTGTAAAGGTATCGTCAACGCTATGGAAAGAAGCACATACGGCTTCCTACCGTGCAGAAGTGATAGCGGCCAGAATAACAAACTTGGTATCGCCACGCCGATGATAAAAAGAATGTTACCCAAAGAGGTAACCGCGGTAGTAGCTTTCAAGTGTTCTTTAATAACCTCATCCTCCCCATCATAACAACCAATTATGAAACCAATCAACACAACGATTGCACAGGCAACTCCGGCACAGAATCGCTTTCTTCCAAGGCTCCAATCCCAACCTGGTTCTTGCTTTATGTTTACTGGAAATCTTCCGCTGTAGATATCATCAAGCTGAGCCTGACGAGCTGAAATGTTCAAGTCCCTGGCTAGCAATTGTTCATCTTTATCCGCCTCAGACCTTTGCTGGAATTTAGCACTTCGAGCGCTACTCATTGTAAAATTACCGCTGGGCCTAGGTATCCTGGATCTTTCTTCATGGCTTCTCACTTTGTCCTGCTGTGACCTCTTCCTCGTTGCAGTGGTGTTTTCTGTGGACAATGATCTCATCCTTCTTTGTGTATTTTGGCTTCCGCCCATTAGATTGCTAATTTTTATAACATCAGAGGCCTCCAACGAGTTACGTCCGTTTAATTTGTGGCGTGTTCGAGTGGCTGCGGGTCGGCTTCCTTGCTGCTTGGCTCCTGTATAGACCTTCTCATCATTCGCGGTCTTGAATGATTCTGCGTTGCCCTTCATGCTATCAGTCTCACTTAGAACACTCTCACGTAAACTGCGTATGCTACGGATACTAGCGTCTCTCTGCTCAAGCGCTGTATGCGAGTCTGTCACGGCCCTACCAGCCAATTCCAGGGCTTGGTTTAACATATCCTCTAGGTCAATGATAATCCTAGTGAAGGAGCCAGTGGACATTGGAAGAATTGTTTGCTCTACGGAAGCCCCCTTTTGTCCTTTTGAGGTAGAGTTATACCGAGATTGAGAACTTGGTTTGCCACGGTGATCTTCTGATTTATCGGGACCGGGCTCAGATAGAACATATTCCTCATATAAGGTTCTGGGGATATATTTTTGGACTGATGTATTTGTCCCGGAATCTGAATAGGTTGAGACTTCTTCCATCTGCTCTTGGGAGTAGTACCTCGCAGCTTTGTTTATGGGTATTCTTTCCGAACCACCCTCACCCTTCCATGGAAGAACGGCAGGCACTTGTCCGGAAAACTTCATTCGTGATAAAGTCTCCAATGGAAAATACTGTACCTGGCTATTTTCAAGTTTCTCATCGTACTCAGGATCAGTCATTGTACTCTTTTCCACTGTCGATATTCCTACAACAAAATTGTTCTTTTGAATAATTAACTCTTCCGGAGTTGACGCTCCCGTATGCGCAACGACTGTGCTTGTGGCATATGCGCCTCTATTCGTCTTAACCCTATCATCTCTCGTGCTCGTACTATCGGGAGATGATATCACTACCGGTGTTGCGGGAATTACACTAATTAGTGGCTCCGGGGTAGCCACTGTGTTTGCCGGCGTTACCGGGGCCTTCTGTGGTTTTTTATGTAGTATCAGAGGTTTTGCAAACAGATCTGGGGTTCGAGGTTGAGAATTTCTTGAGCTTGAAGAGCTGTCGTATATCACACTAAAGATTGGATCGACTACCGGAATTGGTTCAAAGGGACGACGCGAAAGGACTTGCTCTCGGACCTTTTCCGGGTCGATCCCACCCTCCGTAACTTCACCGTCTCCCTCGGCACTAGAAGTAGAAGACTGAGAGTGACGGCCAGATATCTGTTTTCTAGCCCTACTTACTGTCTCCGGTACTGGAAATGAACCAAGGATGAGTTTCGGGGACCTGTCGCCTGCGGTCCGTTTGTGAATATTTGTTGGAGTAGATGAATGTAAGTAGTGTGCAGGCATAGGAGAATCGTTCCTGACTATTGAGCTCGTAACGGAGTGCTTTGGAACAGTCTGTATGCGGATTTGCTCCCCACTAGATGTGGCCGCAGAGGATGAACTCAGATGATAGAAGTTACTTGCATCACCTCCAGATTTGTTCGTTGGTTTATCGCTATTCTCGGAGGAGCTAGTATCTGCATCGTATGAAGATGTCGAGTAGCCAAGTCTGTGAGCAGATACATCTGAGGTCGGGGTTGCACAATCAACGGGACTGGATTCATTGATGAGTGCCCGCACTCGTGTGAAAAGACTGGCAGCAGCTTCCTCGATCGAGTCAGGGGTACGGCGTTGGCTGTCGGTGATGGGCTTATCTTTCTGCAGGCGTGATACCTAGAAACCCAATGATTTTAGTGAGCTGAAGTCCTAGACAGAAGGTTGAAAACATACACTTTTTACTCGGGGAGATCCAGGCGCTACATCCACTGGAACGGGGTGAGCGGTAGCAGGCCGCTGGTCCATATCAGTGCAGCATCAAGCTAGCACGATAAACCCGAAGAGGTGGATGGATCGAAAGAATTGGTAATGATTGAGCAAATAGTATATATACTCATGCCAATAGTAATTCAAAGGGAAAAGACGCGAAGAGAGAAGAAGATAAATGCCACGCTGCCTTCATGATGTAAACTTTTGGCGTGCCCTATACAGGCCAGCAATACCTAAATATAGTCAGGTATTAATATAATAGACCTAGTATAGTCGACGAGCAGAGTCCGCCCGAGTTCACAGCTCGAGCTTTTTCTCGAGCAGGGCCGGCGCCAAGTAGGAGGAGCCGCGATTCGAGCTTTCCGAGCAAAATTGTCAAAATTGACTCGAGTTGCTCGAGCTTTCTAAACATATAGAATTTGAGCAATGTACATATCTCGACAAATGAAAGGCCATTTGGCACAATAGGAACCAAGGATCTATTTTTCACAAACAATACTTATTTTCAATGCTTTATCTTATTAAGGTATTAAGCATACATGTATTTATTGCAAAGCTCGAGTTTCGCCACGAGCAGCTAGAGGCGACCCCACGAGTCGAGCAGAGTAGGCCTCCTAAATAGAGGAGCTACTCGAGTCAATAGTAAAACTCGACTCGATCGGACTCGTCGACACTAAATAGACCCTTCCAGGATTTCAGATTTCTCCTAGCCGCCAGAGGTGATGGGTACTAGGCCTCATGAATTAAGTGTTACCTGTCCGGGAGAGTTTTGAAAATACATGTACATAAGTACATGCAATCTTTTACGTAATTACGTGCCTGTGCCCTAGACCCGTTCCTGTTGTATCCGGACAACTTAAAATAAATTAGGTGGGGAGGCCATGTGACGCCAACGGGAATTTAATGTGGTGTTCGCGTACAAACTTGCTTGCTTTTATTATGTACTATGTACCTACAAAAATAGGACCCTTGTATAGGCGGGCAGCACAGGTAGGCGGGCAGGAAAATAGGATAGGGAGTGTGGGTGCGTGCGGGTGACGGTTTGTGACCGCCCCAGCCGCTAGTAACTAGTCTTGAAGGCGAACCCTAGGCCCTATCACATTAAAAACCAAGTCGCCCCGAAGTACAGGGGGATGAAATTTTTATATGAGATGTACGTCTTTAAATACCCATAAAATGCACAGGTATCAGAAGCTTCCACCAAAATACATACCAGTTACTGAGCTAGCTATAGGAATGGGGGCAGCCGGAATTCGACAAATTTGAGTCACAAACAATTTCGAGTGATTAACCATGATTCACATTCGGTTTGCCCTTCTAGAAATGTTATGCTATGTCTTTAGAGTAAGGATTAGATGGATATATAGGTTTATTTTAACTACATAATAGATCATGGTACATAAATTCAAATCCTTTTGCTACTTATATACAGCTAACGATATATCGATAGGGACGCGGCTGTAACATGAGCATGAGCCTTGGATGAGAGGGCCAAATCTGCAGATCTAGAGTTGTGTAGAGGCCTCGATATTAATTGTTTCTGCGGCTTCACATTAATTACGCTTCCGTATAAATGAACTTATTGTGAATCATAGAGAGTATCGACCTAGGTTTAAAGGTCCGTACCGCACGCGCAGCCAATTACAGCCAATTACTCATAATCACAACTTCGATCATGATGAACGACCTTACCTCGTCGTATCACGATCTTCTATACTTATACTAGGTAACTCTCTCATCACTCTTAAATCTACTCTTATTCGCGATTGCTTTCGATTGCTTCTTTATATCACTATAATGAATCCCAAACAGTGTGCATGCAGATGTGAGTATCTGTCCTGTCTAAACAAGGTACATGTGGTCACAATCGGTATAGTCACAAGAGTATGTACTTCGAAAAAGAACAAAGCACGATTCCCACAAGTACCTTCATCCGTTATGCCCCCCACTTGATATGTGGTTCCGACACAACCGGTAGGGTACGAACTAAACTTCAAGCTCACAGCCCGTGGAATTGAGTTTAGCGATCAGCCAAGCTACAACTATCCTACGTATACCAGAGCCTCTATCGATCTCGAAAAGACAATGTTTACTAGACCCATTGTTATTCTTTTTACGCCGACCCCCCATACAACCCCATCTCATGATATTTGAATTCTGCCCCCAATACGGTAATATACTACCTCTTGACTGTGATTTTTATTTCTCTATATATAGGAAGACGTAGCTGGATTGTATCTGCTCAAAATAAGTTTTGTCCGTTTACCGCATCATTCGCGTTTCTCTGCGGTTTCTGTCTGTAATGTAGAGGACAACTTGGGCCAGCCTGGGATCCGGATAGATACATACATACTAGTATAGGGAGGGCCCGGCCCATTTAGCTTTAGCCCGGGCCCGGATGAAGATTTATTTGGGCTTTTGTAGGTTTTATTTCTATCAAGATAACCTGAGGTATAGCTATGACTGACCAATCTAATCCGGATAGCAGGTGTTTTATATCACAAGCTTGAGCATTCTGTTATCCCTAGGTTTCTCTCCGCGTAAGTCTTAGAAACTACATGTAAACTACACGTACGTACATATATGTAGTATGCGGAACCTTCTATACATGTAAATGTAGATATGCACTGCCTGCCGAACATGAATAATAAACAAAGTGACGTGATTGATGTACAGACCCGTGAAAGCAAAGAGACAAAAAAGGTGTCGGGCCCGGCCCGGCTCATGAAAAAAAATAGTTGGCCCGGCCCGTCCCAAGTCGCCCCCCGCTAGTGGAATTCCCCGCATCGCGCGCAAAAGAAATTCTACCACTAATCTATAGCTATACCCTGATCTACTAAATGCACTTCCTTCGACCCAACGTCCTCTGTGACCTCCCCTCCTCTGTCCAAAAGCAGTTCTGTCACTTCTTTGCCACATCCTCCATTTCTCGCTGCCGCCGACATGACCGCCTCTGTGACCTCCCCTCCTCTGTCCAAAAACAGTTCTGTCACTTCTTTGCCACATCCTCCATTTCTCGCTGCCGCCGACATGACCGCCTCTGTGACCTCCCCTCCTCTTTCCAAAAACAGTTCTGTCACTTCTTTGCCACATCCTCCATTTCTCGCTGCCGCCGACATGACCGCCTCTGTGACCTCCCCTCCTCTTTCCAAAAGCAGTTCTATTACTTCTTTACCACATTCCCGATTTCCCGCTGCCGCCGACATGACCGCCTCTGTGACCTCCCCTGCTCCTCTGTCCAAAAGCAGTTCTGTCAACCTTTTAGGGTGGACAGAATCGCGTAGTACTATAAGAAACAACTCCAAATAGCCATAGTCACCTGTTTGGCGCCGCGCCGAACCCGCTGTTGCCACCTGCGGGATTGCGCCTTTCTCCTGGATGATGTTGTCCAGCCCCGCGTGATTTAAGAGTAACTGAGCTATTGTCAACGGGGCTATGTATCCCATCAACGAGGTCTTCAAAGCAAGAAGGCTAACATTCACTTTTCTTTCTAGGAGAAGTTGAACGATTGAATAGCGACGACTCCATATTCCCGCGTATAGTAAATCGCCAAAATCTCCTTCGCAAATGCTTATTCAGTCCCTTCATCTAGCAATCTTCTGAGGTAGAACTCCAATCCCAAAGCGGCGGAGATATTTAGTAGTGGCAGGGCTTGGATGTGGCGACTGAGAGACCAACGTTTACTTCCTCTGTAGATTTCAAAAGCAAGATTAATTTTTCTCTTGGAAATCGCTAATCTCGAAAATGATTCCCACAGACCAGGATCCTCCGCCTTGGCTTCATTGACATGATCCGGCCAGTATTCGATATAATCCAGAAGGCGCACATGCATGTCTTTATCCGTTATATATTTGGGCCGGGAACCATATTCTGGCCATTCAATGCGGAGATCCTCAAATTCATCCAACGAGAGGTATATCTGAAAGGTGGTTGCAATTTGGAGGTTCGATTCAGCCGGCGAAATAAGCAGATCATGACATTTTTTCATCAATCGAGAATCCGTGAGGAAATCCTTTGCGGATTGATGGATTAGATGAACTGTTTCACGTTTCTTATCGATTCTGAGTAGAGGGTCAAAGATCGAGTTAAGAGTGTCGCTTAAATTTGTCTCCATGTTCTCCGCCGTATTAACGAGAGACGTATGCTGGGGTTGTACAGCTATGGCTATCGTAAGTTCCTCGAGATTCAGAGGGCGCTTTGCAAAGATAACCCACTGAAGGATCTTCAGAGCATTTTCCCGTAAGTCCTAAGGGATGCCGTCCAGAATCTTTTCGTATATGCCTGGGAGTGTCTTTGGGAATTTCTTGAGTTCCTCGAGAATAGATTTGGGCGTCGTACTTTTGAAATCTTCAAGATGTGCTAAAATAAGAGAAACCCAAAGGAACATCCCTTCTGCACCCTTTGTGAGATTTTCTCTGATCTCAGCCTCGAGGGTTTCACTGATTTTTTTCCGATTTGATAATTTATGAAGTCGACTATTCACAAATGTCACAATATCGCTATCAGTGTCATCCGTTCTGAGAGAGATATTTGTGAGAATCGTCGATGAGAACTCAAACTGCACTTGTGGACGGCTTATAACAACTATTTTCAGCTTTTTGTTGAGGCATCGAAGCTCAATGAAAAAGGTCGTTTAGGTTGCACAAAAGCTCTTTCCGAGTATCCGCTTCACATTCTAGTGCATCGATGAGAAATAAGAGCGGTCTAGCACTATTATCGAGAACAATATTCCTGAGGATCCGCCATAATTGACCAAATGTCCACGAGGCACTTTCCTTGTGTAATAGGTATTCAGGTATGATAAATTTGAAAAAATTCGGCTCTTGGCGTAAGATTTGGTCAATTATGTGTCGAAGTATAGCGGTAGCTGTCCGTAATCTTTCGTCTTTGTCGTCGCAGAAGAAATATGCAACCAGAAAATTTTGACCCCCGCTAGCCTCTGGGTCCTTGACAAGTCTTTCGGAAAGAAATGACGAGAGCACACTCTTCCCCCAGCCAGGGCCACCATCAATCCAGAGTAGGTTTAACTCTTTCTTTACCATTCCTTGTATCTTTCATCGTTTAAAAGCCAGTCACAGGTGTTGGGGTTACGCTTTCGGAGAAGCTGATCACGGATTGTTTGATAATCAGACGCCTCTAATGTCTTTAGGCATTCATTCTCATTCAAATCGCCTAACTATACATAAGCTATAGTTCAATAAATGTTACAGCCCTCATCCTTAGAAGACTCTAATATGGCTGATTTAAGATGTTGATCACCTACGGGTATGTTCCTTGGGAATATTTATCGTCTCTATATTCAATAAACATAATTAGCTATTTATACCTAAATTGACAAGATTTTCCATACCCGAGGATTGAAGTGCATTTGCTACCTCCTCTCTCATGTTCCTTCTGAATGTCACATACGTTGGATCGCCGTCCGAAATAAATTTAGTTATTTCTCGGTGGTTTTTTGAGACACCGACTGCAATTTCCCTTGGCATGAATAATCGAGAAGAATTTCTTTCAACCATCTCCTCTTTTTTCCCTTTTGACTCGTACCTTCCCAACGCAGTCTAAAACAACTTAACTTTTGTCAAATTTGGGAGATCAGATTTTTATATAGTACCTTTGTGACAGTAGGTGTTTTTGTTTTCTCGTAAAAACTGTAGAGATTAAGCCTATCCCAGATATCGACTAGGTCATTTCTCTGAGTTATTAGAAATTCGGAATTTCGCCTCAGCTTTTCAAGAAGCTTAAGCACTGCCTCTGATGAATCCCCATCTTTCGCCAAATCTTTAACCATTGCTTCAAGCTCGGATGTTCGAAAACCTTGATGTGGGACCCCGAAAAAGAAGAGAGCTTGTGTTGATTCTAAGATATGTTCGTAAATCTTTCGGCTCTTTGACTCGAGCAAAGTCTAGGAAATTGAAATAATCAACTTATATTCTCCCATAAACCAAGTCAAATTTCTGACCTGCAAGATTAGAGTGCCACCAAAACTATATCCTATGAAGATGATAGGCCTTTTCTTTGCCTAAGCTCGCGTGGGTCAATCAAAAATTCATGGTATGATCATAGTTAGGATTGCTACCTCTGCCGTATTCCTCACATTCAACAATTGTATGAATAAGTTTGATCTTTGATCTTGGAGTGTGTCATCTACCGTGTTCCCAATAAGATTGGAGTTGTAGCCATAGGTTAAAACCCGGATATTTTTAATATCGTTGGGAAGAAAATCTTGAAGCCACATTTTGCCGCTCTCTCTATTCCTCCATGACCCGAATGCGTGCCCTGCAAGACCAGTTACCGCAACAACACTGATAGATTGCCACATGGTGAGTTTCCGGGTCTTAAAAATTAAATATGAGGCGAGAGGAAAAATCACTCACTCAACTATAGAATTTCCGCCCTCTGGTCTATTCAGAGGCGTGAGATTGTAGAAGTTTCGGTCGATGGTAACTCCACCAGTGGAAAGCCCAGATATCGAGACGTAGTCGCCTTCGGGTTTGATTCGCTGAAAGGATTCCGGGATCCCTTTGGTCCTCAACACGCCTACTTGCTTTTGGCTATAGCACCCAGGAAACAGTGAAAGGTCTGAGAGATCGATCTTGAGTGAATTATCGTGCTTCCGAAGGAAGTCTATGAGCTTGTCCTTGTCGCAGTCTTCTGGGATACCAGAGATACGCCAATAAGTTATCTTTTCGGCCGACTCTTTCGTCTCGAGTATGGTCGATGCAGACTGGGCTGGAGCTCTATCGGAGCGGCCTTGGCGCCGAATAAAGAACCAACTCAAGGTTAGTATGAGTGTTGTGAGGATCCCAGATGTTAGGAGGAAAATCATAATTGTGAATAGCGATGTGGTATTGTCCATAAGGACCTTGCAGTCCTTATGTACCAGTCTTGTAGGCCAACAAAATGTGGAAACACGTTTAGCAAGAAAATGTCGGCCGAGCATAATTTCTTTTTAGTACCTAGGTAGTCTTGATTCCTACATAAGGGGAGAGCTGGCTATGTGAAGTACCGCCATAACTCGAAAAATTGGCTAGATCAAAATTACTTGTACGGGAAACTTCTGGTGCAGATCGATGCCATTCAACCAATCACTCAAGTGGTAATCCCTGGACGGAGATAGCCAATTTTTCGAGTTTTGGCGGTAGAGTAGCCCTTCAGCCTTGCCAGCTGCGCAGACCGATTGGAAATAACTCTACAGCACAGTCGACAAACATCCTCGGACAATGCACCACTTGGCAAGGTTCAGGATACTGCTGTACTACAGCGCTAATGTATGTATTCTGGCTCAGCCTCAGTACCTACATACATACATGTACTTACTCTCTCAAACAAGGCGCTTACCAGTAGAGAAAATTCGTTGCGAGACAGTAGGGGTATGATAAGCCAACTAGAGGCAGTCTTTGGCGTCAATATGCAACGAATCTTCGATGATTCTGGAACTGACTAGAGTAGGTAAACTTAGTTGATTCTAGAGTAGAGCGCATAGGTAGAGTACCTACATACATAGAGTAAGTGGCTGTACATACAGTACTAACTTCGATATTCTAGAACTGAATAGAGGGGTTTAGCTAGCTAAAACCCTCTATTAAATGTACTGGATACCTTGCTGTCCCGTACGAGATCCTCTGGAAAACCAGCCCCAGAGGTTTTGATAGGCCTGAGGTTATATGGGCCGGCCCTGGCTTCGGCTTGCAAGGCCGGGCTTGGGCAAGGTATCTGATGTTGAGTCAGGCTTGCTCCTAAGAGGATTGAGGCCCGAGCTTTGTGGGTGATTTATATTGGCCGAAATAGGTGTGTATTTTAACACATCCATCAGATTTCATCTCTCATTTGACTCTATGAAAAAAAATCTTCGAATAGTAAGAGGTTTTAGCACCAATAAACAGTCAGCTATGTTTTCTTAGAACTATACGAACAAAAAAGCCCGGGCTTAAGCCCGCTTACATGGGCCAGGCCGGGCCCCGGTTTTGCTTTCTGGACTTGGGTTAGTCTATACCTGTTTGGAATCTTGGCAACCCGGCATATCGAGTTGCGACTGGACTCCCATTGTCTGTGTGTGCACTCTATATGTAAAATCCATGGGAGGGAAGTATGGCATGCCGATTGCTAGTAGGCATATTAGCTGAAGTTCTGGAGTTATGATTTAGTCATTTCGATATTTCTCGTGTATAGAGACTATATACCTTTAATCAAGTGAGAATAAGCTCGGAAATGCCTGGTTTCTCTACTTGCTGAGACCTCGTGGTAAGTAAAGGGTTGCTTCGAATTACCGCCAGTCGAGAGAAGCGCAGCATAAAATGGATTGATAGGTAACGATGCATCCCATGGACTATTGGATAGAAAACTTAGTTTCATATAGTGAGATTACTAAGGAGTTCTTGCGATGTATTTGTGCGTCGAACTCCGGTGTACCAGGTTGTGGGTAGACAGTGTTGATTGGCCAAACCACTGCCTAAGCAAAGTGGAAAGAGAACTCCGGTGCTGACTTAGTCCTAATCTGTGAGCCCACTCATGTAGAGTATTTCGGCGGAACTTTATCTCACTACATACCTCCTAATCCATCAAACATCCTAAGTATGCCGAAAAACGCCGTCTCGATTAGCAAGATTCTGAGGTTTGAGAGCAAATTTCACGATTTCGCAGTAAGAGATATTGTGTTTCGAGAATTATACTGATGACAATATAAGAGCTTTCTACACGGAGTCACTTGAACGCCACGCGGCTTGTTCCGGGGGTGTGGCGGAGCTTCCCGTACTTGCATCCGCTCTCGGCAACACGATCCCGTGCTTATCATATCAATCAACCTCTAGAAATGGCCATCCACAGCTGGTTGGATTGGTAAGAGTTCTGGTTATTCCGCCGCTGAGGAGTCGAAACTACCACCAGTCACAGTCGCTCCGCTTTCAACCACCAGGGGAAATTTGTTTTCCACTTTTCCCAAGCTCTCCCGAATCCCATGATTCTGCGGCAGCTGCGTCAGTCAATTGACGTGATTTGAGACACTGAGCGGACTCCGACGTCTCTCCAGACAGCTTCACCGCGATCGGCACACACGACAAGAGCAGCCCACTATGAATCCCGCAGAAGCCCAGAGATCCCCACTAGTGGGATCGACTCCAAATGGGGGGCGTCATTTCCTCGAACTCCCCGACGAACTCCTTGTCCAGATCGTTTCCTGTCAGAGCTCCCGACCCCTCAGTTCCCCTCCCTGCTGCTGATAAAACGTCCCCTAGATCTCCCTCCACGCTCCGCGATCCCTCTCCACTCCACCTGCCGCCGTCTTCGCGGCTTCACCCGGCAAGATTCTGCATTATGGCGGTCGCTCTGCGCTTACCAAGAAGCGGTTGACGCTCATCCTGCCTTTGTTCCTACTCCGCCTCCAAGTCCTCCCGGGAGTAATAATAACACAACACCTCAAAATCCGGTTCCTGCAACGGCTACATCTTGGCCTATCCCTGGGATAAGGGACGCCGAAAAGATCGATTGGTACAATGAATATAAGTTTCGCCATGCCCCGCTGAAGATGCGGTGGTTCTGCGCGGGCGAGGATAAGCTGGATGTGGAAGTGGGGCTGCAAGACGAGGTGAAGGGAATAGGTGTATTCTCGTCCAGGGGCGGCGGAAATAGAAATGATATGTTACTTTCTAGTCTCTCGGATGGCAGCATCTGCATATGGTCATTGAAGGACACTGCCTCTGGGAAGGGAAGAAAGGTCGTTGCAAGATCCAGGCCGGGACTGGTATTCAGCGACGAAGGCGACGAAAAATGGCAGGGAAGGAGGAAGGCAAGGGAAGCAGAAATTGTGGATGGCGTAAGTGTGGATGATATAACCGGGAAAGTATGGGTCGCTGGAGAAGAGGGTTTGATAGAGATAGTGGGTATTCCAGAAGTCCATATTGGCAGCTTGCCCCACTGACTACGCCTAGGACCTTAACACACTCCAAAAGGTTTCTACCCATCGCTTTCCGTTTTCGATCACAACACTCTCTCAAACGTCGCACCCCCATCCTCTCACAGTTGGGACCACATTAACTCTCCATCTCCACGATCCGCGGGTTGCCGTTCCCGCCTCTACCGTTACATTCAGTTCCAGTGGTACAGATGACGAGCGTGTTCAGCCAGTGCATATCAACCCACAACCATACACCTCGCATCCATTCCGCAAGAACTACCATCTCCACGCCACCCTTTTCCAGCCAGGGCCATTAAGCATCATCCACAGCGACCCTTGGACCGGCGCAAGCAGCGGCGACGGCGAAATCTATGTCGCAGGCAGATTCTCCAGCATCCTCTGCTACTCCCGCAGAATGTGGCCCAAGCTCCGCGGAACCATCCACTCTGGCGGCCGGCTCTGCGCCCTCGCCAGCATACCGTACTTCCATTCCCCTATTTTCCCTCCTGGGCCCTCATCGGGCCTAGGAGCCGAAGCCGAGGATGACCGCGGCCAGACAACCCTCCTGGCGGCCGGGGAATACAATGGCCGCGGAACACTCGAGGTCTACCCCCTCACCTCGGCGCCGAGTTCATTCCCAAGCCCGCTGGTTCCCGCCGCCACGGACGCGATCAAGAACCGCCAGACCGCATCACGGTCTAAAGTAATGACAGTAGCCTCGCACGGCGCGCGCATCGTAACCGGTGATGCGGACGGTATCATCAAGTGGGTTGAGCGCGACGGCAGGAAGCTGGCCCGCGCATACGTCGTCGAGCCACCTAGCATACGAAAGAAAAGCGAAGGCCTATGGGGGGGCGGCGGAGATGCGGCGGCGGCCACCACCGGTGGGGGCCTCAGTGTGAGAGGCGGGGGCGGGGGCGAGGTCGTACGTAAGGTTATTGTTGCCAAGCAGGGCGGTGAAGAGCTGGTTGTGTGGGCCGGGAACCGGATAGGTGTCCTGGGCACATTTGGAGCCGAGGAGCCGGAAGAGACGGAAGAGGAGGCGGAGGAGGGGAATGTAGAAAAGGTGTATTTGAGGAAGATGAGAGAGGTGCTGGAGAGGCAGGCAGAAGAGGTGAGGATTATGGCGGGCTTGGGAGCCATTTAGTCTTTTTGGGTGGACGGCGGTAGAATATTGAACTGGTATTCCTCTTGTTCTTCCCTTTTCTTTTCTTTTGTTTTTTGGTCGAAAGTTGGTTTTGTTGGCTTCAGCGCAGCTTCTTTTTGTTTTGTTTTAGCCTTTGCTTTTCTTTTCTTTCCGGAGGATCTTTCTTCTTTCTCGCAGCAGCTATTGATTAGTCTTCTTGCAAAACCACCCACCTTGTCTTTTTCGATGCTTAGTAGCCACATGTAGGTTTCGGATTCCGGATTTCTTTGGGTCATGAAAGCACAGGGCAGGACAGGACAGGCAGGACATGGGGGTTTTTCATTTTACCATGAGCGAGAGAGGGAGGAAAAACTATAAAGACATTTTATGAGTGTTAGTTCGTTTAGAAATATATTTCCATTTTTACACATTCGATGTAAGAGTGCCAGTTTGTAGATGCCTCAAGAGGCGGGGATGAGTTTCTGCAGAAAATAGGCGGCCGCGTGGCCTAATGGTTAAGGCGTTGGTTTTCGGCACCAAAGATTGGGGGTTCGAGTCCTCTCGCGGTCGGTTCATTGATGTTCTTTTTGCCAGGCTTGGGGTGGTGCCGTGTGGTGGGGTTGAGGTGGGGGTTGATGAGGAAGTGTGTTTTAGTGGTGTGGTTGATGGTGGTGGCGGTGGTGGTGGTCGTGAGAGCTAGTAATGGTGTGGGACGAGTGAGAGGTTGTGATCTTGGCGTCGGGGTAACCATACGGCAAAACCACGTCTGCACAAAACATAGGCGATAAAACCAATTCGATGGGTAATATGACCGCCTAGTCCCCAGAAACAAAAACTATTCAGTTCCTAATAGTTTCATTATTGACTATATCTCAACTCAACCCCTAAATGAATATTGCGCCCAAAAAAAGGCAAAAATGAGGTGTTGAGTTCGGTACTCAGGATTCCCGCATGGTTACCCACTGCAGTACTAATTGAGCGATACGACGGTTGAGTATGGCAGAGCGGACGGGATGCCCTATTTTCGTCGTTCTATGACCGAACACGTGGGGATAAGGCGGGCGGCGGTCGAAATTTTTGACATTGTCTTGGCGGTGAGCTACTAACCAACTTAGGACTCATTAAAGCCTATAATCCTGGATGACGAGCTGGGCGGGACGGGGATCTATTAGTACTGGGGATAGGTGTGGGGTTGGTGTTGATATTGGTTTGGGGGGTGGTTTGTCGGTGAGCGGATTGAGGAACGATGACCCTCGGTGACTTGGATGGTGCGGATGTGGGCTCTACTTCTTAATTAAGAGCGGGACGGAGGTGGTGTTCGCTAGACCCAGCTCGTTGCTTGAAACCAGTGTGGTTACGAGGTGGAAGCATCGAGTGATGGCTTATGACCTGTATTAAGGTCTTGATTTGTCCTAAACTTTTACAATTACAACACTATAAATAGCACATAGCGTGTAGTCCAACCACATCCCCATACTCCGCAGAGAATAAACCAAAACACCTCTTATAACCCCTACTAGGCAGCAGTTCCTTCGCCCCGCAGCCTTAGTAAACCCTACCGGCACAGTGCTAAAAAATATCAAGCGGGCCAACCGCTCAGAACTTGCTCCCCGCCGCATCCATTCCCAAGTTCGTAGAGGACCGAGTGATGAGTTATAATCTACGGACAAAACCGCCGCAACTCTCCTAGCTGGCTTTGGGTGCGAAAAGTGTCGGATTATAGATCGCTGCGTAGTACAACGTTACAGATGGAAAGTTAGCTATTCGCGCTCACTAGCCCACCGGATATCCCCTTATAATTAATCCTTGCGGTTCCGCACCCCTACGCCTGGAGATACATGTATTACTTCGGCGTATACCGTGCAGATACCCGGCGGTCTGTCTATATTTCGTCCTATCTATATAGAATCTTTATACCCTATGGAAAGAAGAAAACTAAATACCAATCGCGTAAGCCCAGGCCCATTCTATCTCATCGCGCCCTTCTCCTCATGCAAACCGCACCCCAGTTCATCCGCGAATATCAACGGACAGCCTGTATATACGGTGCATTAATGGGATGTAGTAAAATACGAGGCCCAGGCCCATGAGAGTTAGAGGAACATTCCAGGTGTTTACGGACACCAAGAAAATGGTAGGTAGTGTTGCGGATGTTGATTAGGTAGGTGTGCCAACCCGTTAGTGAACTCGTTAGCTTTGTGGATGACTGGATGCTCACTAGGGAGATGTATATAAGGAGGTCTTAGTAACCATGTCCGCAGCAACATATAGACTAGATTAACTTGACGTGTAATTTATATGACGTATAAGTAGATTAGTAGGCTCTTATCCTCTTTCGCCCAGCTTATTACAAGCTATTGAGCCTTGCTACACAGCTAGCAGAGCAAATCCCCACCTGCGAACGGGTCCGGGACTCATGCACATTTCTACGCCGGGTGCTTCGCAATTCTACTCCATCCCCTGTATACGTTACCGCATAGGTTCATCTCCCATCCGGATACCACGACGCAGGTAGATCGATCGAGCAAACTTCATTATCCAGTTCTTGTTCACTCAACGCACTCAAACTCCCTTTCTGTCTTCAACGGAATCTCTTCCAGTCTGTGGTTGTCGGCCAGTCTGGATGGGATAAGGAGGCGGGTGGACCAGAACACCCCGACCCCATGACCTATCCTGGTCACAAGCAATACAACACCCAGCTCGAGTGGGTGGTGATAGCACCGGAGTGGTAATATTGTGGATTATTGACTCTATTTCTTTCATCTTGTGACTCAGCGCGCGACTCTACTGGCCGGTGCGGTGCGGTCGAGCAGCTACCTCAGTATATATATATCGCAACACTACTTACCAACCCTATAGCTAGCCGACCCTAACGACTGTGAGTATCCTTCTCCATCATTATCACATAAAAGGAAATAAATGGTTGTGCTACTAAGCTATAGCTAACGTGAAATTCTCCGGACATCACCTACAGCCCCCGAAACAATACCGAGTGATGGCTCATGATCCAGCCATCACCCATATCCCACATCGATACCTAAGCAGTCCGTACAAGAGCAACCCTGCCTCCCCCTAACCCTCCGAAAGAGGGCGGGTTCCAGAACACGACTTTAGCCAACTTATGCCCGGACGTTGCGTGGGGATTTCATGTTGTGGTCCGTTGGCGAAAACGGACCAGTCGTCATTATCAGGCCATTCGTAAACTAGCTCTGACGGGGTTTGGGCCTGCATGTTGAAGATTTGACGGGCCGATGGTGTGGATGTGGAGATTTTGATATTTATGTACCTGCAGGACGTGGAAGAAGAACTGAGAGCGAGTGACTGGGACCCAGAGGCATGTGGTGGTCGAGGTGTCACTTGTGATTGGCGGGGATCGGGGGCTGCATTTGTGATGGATGATACCTATCTACAGATCAGTAACTGAGAGAGGATGAACTAGATGTGGATATACCGGTACGTACGATCTACTAGCCATATTCCATCATACGTCTTGATAATATGAAGTGGGTAGGTATCGACGGAAGCACCATCGAATCTACCCCTATCTGGGGAATCCCGGTACCGATTGCAAAATCAACCAGCAGCTTACACCACAACTTACCTTACAACACAACGACTGCAAGATATTGCATTTCAGTAATTCCTCCATGCTTTGATCATCTTAACCTCCGATATAGAACTAAACATTGCTAACTTCAAAATTCGGTTCGATGTGGCCAAGGCGTCTGGTTACTGGCAGTTACGAGTGATGGCCTATGAGCCCTACCAGATCCACTCCTCAAATTTACCAGCTAGTCGGGGCAAACGACTTGACATCGGAAAACACCGGAAAGCATCGGTCTCCCCATAGTGGCCCCTGGTAGAGTAGGCATTCCCCATGATCTAATAATTTCCCGCTTCCCCGAAGACAATTTTCTGTGTACCTATCCGGGATACCGCTGCTCCCGGTCCCGGGTCAAACCCTGTATATACCATAGCATCGGGCCGCCCGACACCGTACCATCGTCGTATTCATTTCCTCAACTCCATGAAACCCTACTAGCCTTTTACTTGCCTGCTTTCTTAACCCCAGATTCACACACGCCCCCATAGCCTAACCTAACCAACCTATCTAGCTACATTACCTGTCAGCTGTCACGCCCACGTTTACCCCCTTCCCTAGGCGTCTGCCACGTTTCCCCCGGATTACAATCACCCTATTTCCAAAAATAGCCCCCCCCCCCCCCCGACCGGCAGGATGAACCCGGGGTAATTCTCTGTCTGTTTTAGAACCGGCCCGACCGACCGACCGATCGCGGGGTAGGAGGTTCGGTGGTTTGAGTTGGAGGGTACGGATGTTGAATCCGTCCGAGACGTTGCTTTTGCGATGGGTGCGATCGCGGGCATCGGGATGGCGGCCTGGGCTCGGTTGGCCTGGGCTGGGCTGTGTTGAGTGGTTGTTGTGCGGTGGTGGATCGCTTTACGGGGTTAGTTAACACACCACGACCTCACTCGTGACAGGGACGTCCGGAGCTCCTCCATCGCGCGCGGGGTGTGTCTCTGTGTGTGTCTCTGAGTGTGTGTGTCTCTGGTAGGTGTGTGTCTATGGCAGGTGAGAGTGGGTATGGAAAGGCAGAGGCAGAGGCAGAAGCAGGAGGAGGGGTAAATCGGTGGTGGTGGTGGTGCGTGGGCGATCAGATGAAGCTTATTTGCAGGTTCCAGGCCGGTTTGGAATGGCGACACCGTGCTGTGCGCGAATGTGCACTAGAGGAGAGCAGATATGATAGATACTCACTTACCGGCAGGGAGGCTTTCTGTCCTGCGTTGCCGGTCGGAGAGTGACAGGTAGGTAGACAGGTAGAGGTGATTACACCGAGAGAAGTTGAGAGAGAATGGATAGAGGAGAGAGGAGGTGGATAGATAGAGCGATGTTTCTCCCCTTCACGCTCCCCTTGATCTTTCCCCTTCTTTACTCCCCTGTCCACCCGCTGACGTCACAGGCTCCTACCTAACTCACTACTGTATCTACCCCACACCACGAT